GTCGGATTATCTGACGGTAACCCTGGCGGAGCAGAGTTCGAAGGCATTAGAGTTCGGCTTACCTTATTGGATCTCGGGTTATCTTGGGCTGCTTCGAGAAAATAATATCACCGTCGGGCCCTCTCGTACCGGTCTGAATTGTTTGACGAGGAAATACGATATTCGCCACAGTGACGTCCTATCTTTCGCGTCCGACGCGCTTGTCATAAATTTATCGTAAACTTCTGTCCGCGAAATTGCGCCACGGATATTGAATTAATGTCCGAGAGAGAGCGCGCTGGAAGATATAAGCCGATTATTCGAACAACCGTTCTATTATGCTCGCGTATCTTCCGTTTCCGTTAGGCCGAATGTGTATTCCCGCGCGGAAAACTCTCCTTTAAATTTCATCACGATACGCGCTGCCTCTCGTCCGAATGTGTTTTCCAATTGGGATTATTAATCGCTGTAATAGCGGAAAATTCTCCACATCACGGAACTTTTATCGGAGCAATATGTTCTCTTGGAGTATATGTAGCTTTTTAAACATATATTTTAATTCTCTTCTCGTTTATTCTCGCTAATGGATATACCAGACTGTATCTCGAAGAAGATGTTCCCGGGTTCAGTCGTCAATAAAGATTCGTCTACAATACGCGAGGTAAGCGTATAGTAAATTGCAGTAAGAAATAAAAATAACTTGTTTCGTTCCCCTTCCCCTTTTCTCATATTCTAGCTCCCTTACACAGGAAATATCTCTCTTATTCAAGAAAACATTTGTGAAAAAACTATAGTGTATATATAAGCGAAATAAATTATTTTTATCTCTTATATTCAACTCTTTTTCACGCCAAGCTCACTCCGCGATGAGCGATTATAGTCCTTAGAAATGAGGTTGGAATCATAATGAAATCAAGTCAAAATCACGTGAAAATCGATAATCTTGCAGTTATCGTGATGAAGCTTTAGAAATATCAGATAAAAATATTATCTAGATATTGATGACCTAGTCGCGTTACCCCCTCCTTCCAGTTTATATAATACTCGGATCAAGTTGATGTATCGATACATCAACTCGCGATTTGAATATGATATATCGACTGTATTGTCAACAATCCGTCAATACATGTATGGTATCTTTTAGATATCACATAGATGACTAGGTCGATTACATTCTAGGTTTGTTCGAGTTGCTTGTACTATTCACACTTTTACACCTAATGCCCGTTGCACCCCAAACAACACAAATTTTCCAAAATACGTTCTAAAGACGCTTTTAGAACGGAGGGATGTCATCAAAATATTTTTATGATGTCCTTTGAAGGAGTGCGCTGTCTGAAAATAGCTAATATCTAACAAATTTATTCGCATTAATTGAACTTTTTACACTTTCACACTTAGTGCACATTAATTCCTTAGAGGTTCTAAATGACGTCATGATTTCCGTTCGTGTTACGAATGTAAATGCAATTCTGATACACTTTTTACATTTGGTCCCGAGCACGAGTGAAAAGTGTACAAAATTGCATTTACACTCGTAACACGAACGGAAAATATAAATTCATTATGCTCGCGTATCCCCTGCTTTCGTTAGGCCGAATGTGTATTTCCACGTGGAAAACTATCCTTTAAATTTCATCACGGCATGGTGCAGATTCACTAAGTGTGAAAGTGTAAAAAGTTCAATTAATGCGAATAAACGTGTTGGATATTAACTATTTTCAGACAGCATATTTTCTCACACCTTCAAAGGGCGTTCTAAAAATATTCTGATGACGTCCCTCCGTCTTAAAAGCGTCTTCAGAATGTATTTTGGAAAATTTGTGTTGTTTGGGGTGCAACGAGCATTAGATGTAAAAGTGCGAATAGTATAAGCAACTCGAACAAATCTATTGGCAGAATATCGACAAAAAGTGATGCGGATCTATGTAGTTGATTTCCAATTGTATATCCGTTGCATAAATAAAAGATTCGTTATCAAGTAGGATGACCCAAAGAAGCATCATTGATATCGACTTTGTTTTGATTCGATCATCGATTTCTGAATCAGGAACAATTCCCGCAGCAAATAGCATCTCTTGCAACATCGCGTCGGAAAATAGGAAAGAAAAGCGTGCTCAGCGTGTCGGAATGTACACACATGCAAGTTCCACGCCTTGACGCATTCCGATCCCTAACGTGTCAGCAAAAAATGCGTGGATATAGCGACAGAGTCGTGCCGGCTTGGCAAGGCGATTCTGACGTGCAGACGAAGATATATCGCAAATGACGACAATGTCGCCCCATCGCCAAGGTATTTGTTGACGTAACCGCGCGGAATTCTGTACGCGTTTCTGCTCACGAATTATTACCACGAACAATCGCAATGTGGACGTGAAATTTTTCGCCCAGTCACGGACCTAACGGAGGTTAATCCGTGATTAATACAGCGCAGCGGTTAGGTAACACTCAACGTGATATACGGATCATACGCGCATTATATGAATATATTAATGTAACTGAATAATTAATCCAGCGAAATAATTAACCGAACGCTACGGGACATTTAAATATTCGAAGCGCGTCACTGTGCCGCGGTTTCGCGCCATATCGAGGAAGAAATTCTCTGGAGCAAAAATTCGCTGGACTGCAAAAAATTCATTCGCGCCGTAACCCAGGTATGGTTCGACGAGAAAAGAAAGCCTCTCAGGCTTAAGAGACACATAGCTCAAGTCCCTTATCGGCTCGCAAGCCAAACTCCCCCCTCTGTCACCTTTTTATCCCGTGGCAATCGCTTAACACCGACCCGCAACAAATTACGAGTTCTGCAACGACTTTCGCGACGTGATTCTCCCTGATGCCGGTTCATCGAAGCGAGCCGAAGATATCGCCGCCAGGAAGCGGAGATCCCACAAAGGTCCCCGCTATCACGACCACAGCGATAACGACCTGTGAGACTCTACCTTTGACGACCTTCCTCTACATGCTTGTCGGTCGCGAGGCCATTCGTACCACCCACAAAAGGAGAAGGATATTTCAAAGTTGCCTGCCGAGAGATATTGGATAAGACGGGAATATTGAATTCCCCCCGGCCGAGTGCCACTCTAGATACGTCCAAAATAACGTTTTACCGAGGCCGATTTCCAGCAAGAAAAGGACGCAATTTACTTTCGGCCGGCCAGCCGAAGATAAGAAGAACTTTTTAAATAAAGGATAAGGCTTTCCGAACAGGGAAGCACGACTGCGTGCACACGCGGTTGCCTTTTCCGGTATATAAAATATTATGCCAAATGAGTAACACGAAGCTTGTGCTTTATTGTACAACACGAAAAAAACAATGGTTGTATCAAGCAGTAAAATATGGCATAGTTTTTATTTCTAATTTCACTAACCAATTCTTGATTACGTTGACCTATGCGACGTCATTTATTTGCATTGCGATTCGTTGGCTGAAAAATTGCATTTTTGAAGCAACGAATCGGTAGGTCAACGCAATCAAGAATTAATTCTTGAAGTCAGAAAAAAGCTATGCTATATTTTACTATTTTTCTGGTTGACACTGCCATTCTTTTTTTCCGTGAATTATCAATCAACAATATTTATCAAAACTTGCGCAAATGAAAGAAAATTTCAAGTTTGTGTAAATGTTCTTTTAGTATATATGATATATTATGGTGACATGGTTGGTAAAGGATCACGCCAATGCACTCGCATATTGCCGTCACCGTCGTAACCTGAGGTTACGTTGGCAAACTGCCGAGACCGATCTTCCCGCCGACGTAACGACACTCGTGTGTCTGAGCTCTAATTCCCATTTAAGTAATATACGCTTGTCTCTTAGTCACCGGTTTACCCGCAAAACGTCTCAAATATCTCGACTCAGAGAAAACTATGCTCGGACCCGATGATTGACGAACGTATTATGACGCGTTTCCACGTTGAGAAAAAAAGAAGTTACTAGATCGACAAAATCCTCGCTTTTCAGAAGAATATAGTATCTATTGAACAAATTATGCGTCGGTGCAACTGCAAGTTGTCTTGATGTAGTAACTAAACAAATCGCGATCATTGGACCAATCGATAGCTCATTGCAGCAACTATATCATTCGTTCAATCGACTAAACATCTACTTAAACGAATTTTCTTCGAATTCTTAAAGAGAGTTTTTGAATAAAGTGTCATTAATTCAACCGTTTTTTTCAGTGTAGTAGAAATAATTATTTGGCGCCCGAGTGTTAGGATGAATGAGCTATCGTTGATTGACGGTTTGCAAGAGTGTGTAACCACGATGTTGCACTTGGCGAGTGTTTCTTTAACTCTTTGGTGCGTTCTAAAGTTGTATTAAAGTGAAAGCCTGGACATAATATCACTTAATAACACCAGTACTTAACTCTGGACATTCTTATTGTTTTAGTCTTTAAATACGAATATTTAAATTTTTAATATAGAAAATATGTATACATGTATTAAAAAAAAATATATATCTTATACATTAAAAGTTTAAATATTCGTATTTAAAGACCAAAAAAATATAAATATATATTTATATTTTTATCCGATTAGTTTTATCCGATAGTATATTAGTATATTAATATATTTTTATTTTTATCCAATTAGTTGGATGTCAATATTATTAACATCCAGGTACTGGTATTTTTATTGGTAATTTTATCATATAAAAATAAGAAATTACTACAATTAATTAACTAATTACCATATAAAAATAAGGAATTACAATTAATTAACTAATTGTCTTGTTAATTAATTTCTCATTTTATGATGGTGTGTGAGTCACTTGTTCAATTTTACATAAATTAGGTCAATTATAAAAGGAGGTCGAGAATACTTTTCGTATCCCTTCACGTTACAAGACTCTACCGCGACATATTAATTACCAACTAGTCCACGAAGACATGCTCTACGTTTCAAAGAGTTAAATTCCCACGACTCGCCGTATTTCCCGACCAAAACTCCGCTCACCGTCAATCACGGAAACTGCCCGTGCCGTCTGATTAACGCTTCCTCCTATGTTCCATGAACAGTCTCCGAGTTCGCCCAGGAGTTGGGCGCCGCGATGGAGAGCCACTCGGCGAATGTGCGACGTCTGGTCGACGAATTTCGCAGTCGATCGGGCGACTCGCGAATCGATATCGGTGGCATGCGACGCGTTTGGGAGAACCTGTTACGGCAGGTCGAGGCGGACGCGGTCTCTCACCTCGACCTGGCCGCGGTCCTGCAGCAACAATTGTCCAGGCCGACATTAGAAGCGAGCTTTCATCGGAAGCTGCAGTCGCGAAAGGTAAGCTCGCCACTTTAGCCATCGCACAATCGAATAATAGGAAACCGTACAAAACTCTCTGCGCGTAAAACGCGACGATAAATCTGCAATGAATTCGCGACGATAAATCTGCGATGAATGTAGAGTTTTGCAGTTTGTCTCGTGAAAGGTTAGTTTGCGAACCTACGTTTGCGATTGTTAATCTCTGTTTGTGTGCGAGTTCTATCAGTCAATTAAATTGCCACCCATAATTCCTAACTATTGTGCACGATATATCGCTTGATACATTTATGATTGTCTTCATCACGAGACAGATGTTCGTTAATCTACATTGACTCCTCTCTATTTCTGAATCACCTACTTCCTTGTGCACGTACATGTGTACGTACAGCCGTATTAAATGCCATTATCATATTACGATATTGCAATCGCCATTCCCGACAATTCTAAGACGCCTCCTCCCCTGACCGCGATAAGATCCGTTGCAGTTCGCGGGGGACAAGTTTATCGCAGTTACCGAAAGTTCCCCAAGCGGAAATCACCGTCGTTCGATTATTCGATTTCGATATTGCGAACAACGGTGGCGTTTCAATTCGTGACGCGCGTGCTCGCGCGCTTCACGCGACGCATCCCGCCCGCAAATTGATCTCTATGTACGTCCTGCTCCCAGGTATTCGCTCATCGCGATGCATACGAGCAAGTGGTTAGCAAGACGGAGGAGAAGTTGCAGCGCGCCAGATTGGATTACAAGCGCGCCTACGCCGCGTTGCTAACCAACGACGGCGGCGGCGCCGCCGAGCAGGAATTGAAGCGTGCTTACTTGGAGTCGCACAACGCCTACATCCTGCAGCTACGCGCCACCAATGCTATTACCGAGCGCTATCAGTTCCATTGTCTACCGGGGTTGCTCGGTGAGATTGCGGAGGTCTACGAGGAACTTTGCGGATTGGCCTGCAAATGCGTCGCCGGGATCTCGGAGGCGGCCGGAGAACGCGCCGGCGAACAGACCAAACGTTATCAAGCTGTGGCAAAGGAAGCGCAAGCGGTTATGCCATCCAACGATTTGCAGGTTTGTTCGCATTTTATTGAGGGATTCCTCAAGACCTTCGACTCCCAGCATACGCGCGAAACGTTTCGACCGACCTTCTTTCCCAATATCACGTTCGGAGGATGAACTCGTAATTTGAACGCGCGACCAGCCGCGAAATAATGTCACATCCAACGAACCAATGAGCGAGAATAGAACGCACGAGCGATTTATTTAAGAGAATTTCATGTATATGATCTCGATAAAGGGACGACAGCACACGTGCCGAGATATATAAAAAATATTTAAAATTACATAATATAAAATTACATAATATATAATTTTATATATTTTTGTAATTATAAATATCATTGTTCTCGCCCTATTAACAATATTAGCTCTTATATTTGCCTTTATTTTATAAATTTTTTATATAGTTCCTAGTTAAAATATCGTCTTATTATATATATATATATATATATATATATATATATATATATATATATATATATATATATATATAATAGCAAGATATATACATATAAAAAATCAGCATAAAATTTTGCACAATATTATACAAGTAAAAAATAATAATGAATTATTGTCAGTAATGGCAATATGAAATATTTAAAAAATATCCCAATATCATCATACAATACTTTAATAGCATTCTGGAGCTTCATTAAAATCGATAATTTTAATACAAAAATGCCCGGATTACTTTAGCGCTTCCAACTTATAAACTATTAAAGTTAGTCAGAATGAAGCTCCTACTTCCATTTTTACTATTTCTCGTCAAAAATCAATGCGATTTATGTGTTTGCATGCACTATGTAATAATACGCTTTTCCAGCGTTAGATTTCACACTCACCACTCTGTAGTGAAGTTTAACGGCAAGATTCACTGACGAAACCCGCCATTGCATCCAAACTGCGTCGTTCTGTGTCCCTTCAGTAGTACAGTCCTCCATAGTCCAGACATCGCGTCCCACGTTGATCAATTTTCACTGACTCTACTGCACTCGCGATGACAATCAATAATTCGAACAACGTTTAGCAATGTAACGTAACGTTAAGTGATAACTTTTGATGCTTTGAAAATATATCGCGTATCGCGTGTCAAAAATCGCAAGTCGAAGATAACGTTTGCAACAAAACTTACGAGAAAAGAAGAATGGAGATGTATTTCACGAGCGATTATACTTTTCGGAAAACAAACGTTTTATAAGAATCGTAATTTTTAGAATAGGCTATAAATATACGTTTCGAATTTACTAGTAATTTCATCGAGCTTATTCGGATTGTAATGCCATTTCAATTGTCGTCGCGTGAAATGCGTATAAAAAGCAATGAAATTTAAATCCGCGATCGAAGTTATCGCGAATTCCGCGCACACAGTGGCGCAATTCTGATGGGAATTATGCACTGCTCGAAACAATTAGAGGATCACAGTGAATTAATAATACTTTGAAATAATTCTGTAGTTTAAATCGAACGTAATAAGAGCTGAAGTATTTATGTAAATATATTTACATAAGAGATTAAGAGTAAGTATATAATTTAGCGAAAGTATCTTCGACACTTTATCAGATATTATATAAGCATTCAAATAAATGACCTCCTAGTTATTTCGAGCAGCAACAAGTTCAACAGCACATAAACACACATGCAAAAAACTACAAGCAAAATAAATCACATTGATCTTCTCGAGATTCTACAAACATCCATCATAGTAGTTAAGATAAGAGTATTAATGTCTGGACACGTACACTGTGTATATACAAAGAAAAGAGAAAGAATATCTAGAATATAAACAATATGTTTTCAATGGGTAATAACATATTTACTTCTATCTACATATTTACTAAAATACATATTTTTATGTTGGGAAAGCATTTTTTTCAAATGAGAAAATATACACTTTTCTAAAATATCGTTACCTTTCATAAAAACAATTGTTTATTCTATTTAGACAAAAAATTTAGATTTAAATAATATGTTACTAGTATCCACTGAATATTTAATATTTATTTTTTTAGATATATTTTCTGTCAATGTACACTAAGAAATAAACGTTAAAAATTTATTTGTAGAATATAAAATTTATCAACAGAAATAAATTTTATATCCCACGAATAAATTTCTAAGTATTTTTCTCTCAATATATCTCATTTTGGATATTCTTATTGTTTTGATCTTTAAATATGAATATTTAAACTGTTTCTCTCTCTCGCGAGAGACCCAGTAAATACAAAGTATCGTCGAGTATTATCCATGTATATTCCTTAAATATATGTGTATATATATTTTATCCCAGTAAACACAAAGTATTATCCATATTAGAATGTCAGCTCAATCACATGGTATATTACGTAACTGTTACTTTGTTATATAACAAAGTAAAAGTAACATATTATGCCATATGATTGAGCTGATATTGTAATATGGATAATACTTTGTATTTATTGGGATAAAATATATATACATAATATATTATATTTAAGAAATATACACATACATATATAATATGTATTCATTAAATATATTTCTAAATAAATATATACGTATTTTTAAGAAAACCAAAAGAATAAAAATAATTAGCTACGTGTCCTGTAATTGGTACTTTTATCTTATGTTTTTATAAATAAAAACTCGATTTTTGTACCTGTAAACACCGCAAACTCAAAGCCGGCCGCGTTCTGCTACAAATCTAAAACACAAGAAATATAGTTGATTAGCTTTGAAGAGATTTAAGGAATAGGTTCATGGATATGTGCATGTTAGTTTTTTGCGATAATTATTTGGCAATTTTTACTTTCAACAACTGTGTCTTAACGTACGATCGCAAAAGGCATAAGATTGCAAAGCTAACCAAACCTAACCAAACCTAACCTACCCTACCTTCGAACCGGCTCTGCTCGGCCCGATCCGGATCCTCCGGCACGCCATCCACGAAATCCCGCATTCGTCGAAACCGCGGTGTATCGCCGTCTGTGGTCGCAATTCTTGTCAGAGATCTGAGACAAATAATAGGTTTCTTAATTAGCTACAACGATGGTGAGGTTATACGGCTCGAGAGAATCAAGAATACGATACTTTCGACCGTCTTTTTTCTATAACTTTCGTATAAATAAATAATAGTAGTTACCTCTCGTAGTAGAGTACGATGTGCTTTTACTGTTCACGACGACAGCAACTCGAGACGATCGCGAATATCTCCTTTTCATTATGCTGACTGCGGGTGCGTATCAAACTCCAAAAAATCGCGGACGACGTCTCACTAGACGTGTAGACTCGCGCGCGTCGCGGACTGTTGTGGCGTGCGGCGCGGCGTCTGTTACGACGCGCCGTGAGTCGCGCGACCTTCATATAACAACGCACGTAGACCCGAGCTCGCGATCCGTTACACGCTCCCAACGAACGTTATTCTATCTTTAATCTTTGGATGTTTAACATCCAAACACTAAGATGGCAACAAAGATAGAATGATGCTCGCGACCGTTGGGAGCGTGTAACGGATCGCGGCCAGAGTATACCCATTGAGCTTTCCCTGTACAGAATATTCAAAAATCATCGCACGGTACTTCAATAATCGATCTCAATGGTTATAGCTTAAATATTCACACACGAGAATATTTCTATTGAACGCACTGTCAAAATAGACAGTCTGTGATAATCACCTTGTCATCTCAGTGATGCGATTCTGCGTAACTTCTAACGACAGTGTCGTTATCGTTGTGCAGGTATAATACATAGTAAGAAAGCTGCGCAACGACACGTCATGCTAGTGACATTGTCGTTAGGATATTACAGAATAGGATTACAGAAGATACAGTCTAGAAATGTTTTCGAAGCGTTTTACGAGCAATTAAAACGTCACATACGTTTGGAAAACGTATATGTGAAAGCAATATTACTAGGGCAATTGACTAAAACGAATTTCTCGATTACGCGCGATGTGCGTACGTGCATCACAATGATTTTGACGGAACCGCTTCCTCGAGATAATCAACAGTTCTGGTGCACGTAAATGTGTCTGCGTTTATACAGACAGGTATGTCTATGCTGCGCGTAATCGAAAGATTCCTTTGGAACTGGAGTTATGAGATGAGGTTAGGACTACTTCCGCGCGCGCGGATTGCGTACGACACAGTTTTGCGACGCATAAGTATAAGACATCTTGATACTCACCTCGACACAAGGAGAATATCGCGAAGAGTTCTTTCACGTTGTCCGCGGAATCCCACGAGAAGACCGTCGCACGAGCGAGTAAACGCGCCTCCGCCTCGGTGTCTTTTGCGCGCCAATCCCTCCCGGCGTCTCCCGGCGTTCGTGAGTGATGCGAAGGCGGATGCATTCACGTCTATCTCACGCTCGATATGACAATCGATAACAGTCGATCGCGCATAAATGCGACCGTGCCTGGCGAGCGTCGATACGACCATTCGTACGCCGGACATATTGATCACACATAGCAAATAGACATTCCGGGCGTATACCCAATTTCGGAAGCTAGGTATCCGCCGGCGGGATTACAATCGCCGATATTCGGAAGAGGCACAGTGAAAACAGGCGGCAGAGACTGATTAAAGTCGGTCATACACAACGCGGGAGAGCACACGTCGGGATATTGCTCCTCTCGAGGTTCACTCCGCGTTCACCTCGTCGTCCGGCTGACCAAGCGTGCTCTTATCCACTGATTCGGCCTTCTCGTATCTGTCGGTCGGATCGTGTCATCGCGTCCTCCCTCGTCGGAAGCACCGGTACGATCGCCGAAACACGCCAAGCTGCACTACAGTTCCGAGTTTCGAGAGACGTGCTCGATGATTTGCGCGAGAACAATTCGATATCGAATCGATATTCGATTTCGATTCAATATTCGTAAACGCTCGATGCATGTTTTTTCTTCCGTTCAAAGGAGTTCGCGTGTGGTGTCGTCTCGCTGAAGTTGGTAAGTTTAGGTATATGATACATGATCTATGAACAAATGCGAGCAGGCTCTTTGCATTCGGAGTGTCTCGTATTTGTTAACTTGTCGTCGCATTTCGTTCGAGCGATCTTCACAACCTAACTTAACTTGTTTCTCGTTTTCGACACTGTCGTGTTTTCGTAGTGTTCTTTAACCGTTCGCGACTGTGAATTTTGCATACATAATATGTACCAGAGGTTAAGAGGGCAATGTCGTGTCATTCAAGGCATTAGCGCGGAACTTGTCTGCGAACACGACGCCACGGAAGCCGCCGCGGCGCTTGTACGTCGCGCCGGCACCACCCGAGCAGGTACCGATGGAGAAAATCAGTCAGATACCCACGCTCAGGGACGAACTGGTACCAACGGGCACCAGCACGCTCCCGCTCATGGAGGATCTACGACACGAATATGACAGCCTCACCCAGGAGATAGGTCGTCTGCAGGATGCTCTAGACGCTCTGGTGCGAATGCAGCGCAAGTACGTGCCATCGCTTGTATTTTAACGCGTCTCGTTCCTGCTTCATCATTCTTCAGCGTTCATATTATTTTCATTACTCATGTTTCATTAAATTCAATATCCCGGGCAATTCTTTCTTTGTTTTACATATGCACGTGTAGAACAAATTTCATTTTGGCGAATATTTTATTTACGTATTATTTTATTTCGTACAAATCTTTCTATTAAATTTATAACAAATTATATTTCGTATACATGAAAGAAATACGAGAAAAATGCGCGGGCGTTCTATTTTATTATGAAAAGAGTACGTAGTGTTTTCATTTTTTGAATGAATATATATTTACTGTTTTCCAGAAAATTGCCAGTCTATTGTTTTTTGAGTTTGCCACTCTGTTAATTCATTAGTTGCGTCAGTCGGTTTTCAATCAATGAATTAATATTGTTAATGGTTGTCACACCTGGGAAACTTGCCCTGTGCAAGATACTCCAATTTTTGCTTAGAGTTAGGTTCAAAATTTTTAGTTGAATTCTGATATTTATATTAGTGTAAACGTGATTCAACAAATTGAAAAATTCTCACTTAACTCTGGATTCGAATATAAGTATCTCACTTGAAACAAGCTTTAAGTGATAACTATTAATACAAATCTAAAATCAACATTAATAATCACTTGTATTAAAAATCTTTATTAACTGTCACCTGAAACTTATCTCATATGAGATGTTCAGATTTTTACTCAAAGTTAGGCCCAAACTTTTTAGTTGAATTCTAACACTTGCGTCAGTGTAATGGCGATTCAAATTCTCATCTAACTCTAAATTTCATTCTGAGTGTCTGACTTGAAACGAGAGCTTCAAGTGATAATTATTAATATAGATATTAAAACTCTAAACCGAGACATATTAATACAAGTCTTAGTTCTCTAAAACGAGACGCTCTAATGACTATTTTGTCTCCACTTTCATTGCAGAAGCGCCGAAAGTAATCTCTACACAAAGGTGGCCGAGCTACAGGAAGATATTTCACTAAAGCGCTTCGATCTCGGTGTGGCGCAACTGCGTTTAGCCGCGGTGCAGGCACAGGTACGCGCGATTTTTCGTCCACGCATTTATTATTTCATCCGCTTCCAATTCCACGTCCGGTACATTTGTTACTCCGTTCGTGTCTCATACAGAAGCGCACTCGTACGCTTGCACAATTTGTCCAGTTTAAAACGTGTGTGAAGGCAAACGCGCTTTTCTGTCTTCTTCCTTTTTTATTTATCATGTCACTGCGAAACTAAGGGAGAGAGCAGAGAATAAAATATACATACTCAAATAAGGTTCTTTCGTGAAACTCACGTATGCAATGCAGCGACCAGAATAGAATGTAACATCGTGCGCGAAGTTATAGCGCGATATTACGGAGTGAGAACATTGCAGAATAGACATTCTACATTTAAGCCCTCTGTATTCACGATCTGAAATTGATCAGATATCCGCCCTGTGTATTCCGTCCATTTCATCCAATTTGTTCAATCGCGCGTGGCTCGAGCCGCGTTTCACCTGTACACAATATACAAGGTGGATGCATCGGCGAATGACTTCGTGCTCAATCGCTTGAACATTGTTAATTCTCAAGTGAAAAGCGTGCCAATTCATCGGACCTCGAAGGCACAGTAAATGATTGTGCCAATTACGTGACAAGGTTGTTAGTGTAGCGTAATTTCATATCTACTGATATAATTACGTTGTCTCGAGCAATCAGGGAAAAAAATGCAAATCTTGGCTCGCGAGAACGTAAACTGTGTAAAAAGCTTGATTTTATTGGTTTGCTTTTATATGTATTCATGACGCGCAGACGATAATTTCACACGAAATAATTCATATTTCCCAAAAATCCGAATCTACTGTCAACTCTTTTGCCGACGTACAGCTTTATTTTCCATTTCTAGTGGGAGAGATTCTTACACAAGGATTCCGCGTCTTTCTAATTCTCCTGCACAATTCGATTGATCTCACGACTTAATTGTTCATTCTCCAGACAATGGAGAGCCAACAACATTCGCTTGAAAATTAACTGAAATTTAAATACAAAGGGTATTGTCGAACGGGATTCCGTTGTAAATATTTGCCAACGAACGCGATACGTTCTCGTCAGGAAAATTTCGACAGCGCAATTTCCTGACAGATAGAGAAGGAAAGAGAGAGAGAGAGAGAGAGAGAGAGAGAGAGAGAGAAAGAGAGAGAGAGCCGGTGCAACGTTCGCAAACACGAGAAACAATTCGTCTGCCGAAAGTTCGTAAAGCGAAGTACAAGTGGTCATTCACTGGCGCGATTGGTCATTCATCGGTGAGTCTTAGCCTAAACGCCGGATAAATACTGTACGCGCAATCGCGCGACATGCGCCCTCGCAACTGGGTCATCGGCGAGCACGAGCGAGCATCTGAAAATCCATTCCTGGCCTCGCCGAGTCCGTCTATCCAGGTCAGGCGAGCAGGATCGGTCTGGCCGCGCGCGCTGTCGTTTTACTGTTCGTCGATACTCGCCGTTGTCGTCATCGTCGTCGTTGTGTCTCAACGATGGGCTGGACTACACTACGTACGCGGGTCGTTAGTATTTTTTCCTGTTACATCTCTCGTCGCACAAAATCGTAGCATCTCGAATGTATCATCGTCCCTGCGCGACTCCTCACGACGTCACGAGCACGCCGAGGTCGCCGAGCACCCTGGTTGAACAGTGGCCGATAGTGTCTCCGGTGCTTGTGGTAGTTACGAACACGTGCACATGATCGTGAACGATATTTCGGATAATTGACACCGGTTAACACCGACAACGAATCAGTCGACCTGCTCCGTCCCCATTACGTATCCCCGAGCTGACGTCCATCTGCAGCCCTCTGCAGCTCGACTCAATTGCCGCAAATTGATACACGATAAAGAAGGAGCTTTTGTTCAGTATTTTTAATATTTGCGCCTTGCGCGGAATTTTTTATCAGCCAGGTCGGCAAGTTATTCGTTGTCGGTGAGACCGTACACAAAGGGAGCAACGTTGCGATCGCGAACAATGGCTGGGTATGTCCGTCAATGGTCACGGGAATCAATGAAAGTTGACACGTACGTATAATCGATGAATATGTGCCCACACGATATGGAAAATGGACCGACCGCACGGTTGTATCTCCGTGGGAAGCGCTTCAACCAGGGTGAGGGTGTATCGACGTGTGCGTTTCTTTTTTTGCTTGGGGCTAACGTGCGTTGCTGCGTAAGTACCGTGACAAAATGAGAAACTTCCAAAAGGGAACTCTCTCCCTCGTGTCGTGAGATCGAATAAATAACCTTGTGCCAGGGACGAGCGATCTCGCGGCCTGCCCTTTCGATAGCGCGTCGAAGAAGCGGGTCGCGAAAAATCGAGCTGGTGATTTATCCATTGCATTTTTTAGACGCAACCAATAGACTATTTTCGTTCGTTCGTTCGCCGAGGGACTCGCGGAAATGTCGTTCGAGGCGTCTCACAGATCACGTAGTTGCACGAAAATTTGTTATCGGATGAGTCAGTGCCGCGCGAACAAGCCCCACGTGATTCCCGTAATCGCGCGCGGAAAGTTTTCTTATTCATAAGGCGACGCATGCGGATAATAACGGGAGGCTGGTAATAACACGTGGCTATAGGCTGAGCCCGTTGGTGCCGAGCCACGTGACTATATAGTAAGACTCGCTCCTTAGTCATTCATAGCGCCATGTAAACACGCAAATTGATATACAACGAAGCATATATAGCCGCGCTCGTCGGTTACGGGTAACCTTACAGCTTAACGATAGTGGACTCTTCTCTCTCCCGATTTGCATAAACTTACACGTCCCAGATCGCATTTCACACACACGTACACACAGATTTACTGATCGATATGCGACCGAGGCTTCCTTACTTGAAACATTGCGGAATTTTTCTACAATCTTTTGACTTTCGACGTTAAATATTGACGCAGCTAACAGCGAGCTTCTTATTAAAATTTCCTTGAAGCGAAGTCTAATTGGAATTAAACGAAGGTCAGAGTCTCGTCAATATTTGCGCCTCTAAAACTTCAGTGTTGCGCCTCGATCTTCCGAAAACTCAATTACTCGAGATTCCTTCTCAGATTTCGCTATATCGACGCTGAAACATGAACCGCGTTCTCGATTCGTTTACACTCGCGGCACAACATAGCGGAAATTATTTTTGCATGAATTTTAAAGAATTATCAAGTACATAAAGGAGATTACGCAATCGTCAAACGTTCTCAAGACACTACATAGATTGCCCGCGCTTCTACGAATTGCAGAAGGAGCTGTTCGGCGGTGGAGAGGCTGGTCAACCGGACGGGGTAGCCAGTAGGAAGATGTCAAACGGCTCGACCGGAAGTCCCAAGCTCAAATGGCTGAAAGCGTTCAAGAGCCTGAAAACCAGCTCCCCCACCACGCCACCGCTGTCCGAAAAGTGAGCCACTTATTTCCTTTACTACTATCGCCAATGTCCACGTGCATGCCGCGAAAATGCCGGGAGAGTTTCCGACGCGACGGAGATGATTTTCTACCGGGCGACATCGGGAAACCATGTTCGTTCTGTGCCACTCGCGTTACTTGAACGCGAGTCTTTCGTTCGTTCCGCAGAAAAACGGATTACTCTGTTGCCCGGGTAAACGAACATCTATTGTCTTATTCCTGTGTTTTCTCTTTCCTGCTGCACTTTGTTCCGTGTCGTTGGAGAGTAGACATAGCGCGACGTGTACACTCGTGGGATTCGCAAGCTGAGCGAGATTACACGGAAGGAATCAAGCGCGATGTAAACAAAAAGCAACGAAAGACCCAAATCTTTTCCCGCAAATATTTACGAGCGCAAAATGCGCGTCTCGAATCTGCTCGTCCTCGTTTTCACGATTCCAAAGGAAATAGAAAAAGACCGTTTTGCGGATCTTACGTGAGGTTTTGCATGAACAGATGATACAGAACGAACGCTCCTTGAGAATTAGACGTCGCTGCGTCGACGAAGTGTAGATGGGAGTTTCCAGTCAATTTGAGATTTTATCCCCACTTGTTTTCTTCTCTCTTGTTATTTTAATAGAGAATTAGAATCTCTCACAGAGTTCTCTAGAACGTCAGAGTTAGCAAGGCTAAAGAATAGCGACAGCCGTAATCGCCGTAGTTCGTTGTTGCCTAACATTGATGTATTAATCGAGTTGAGCGCGAAAGTTGCCGTGCGCGAGAAAGATTCCTGTTTGCGTTTTGCTGCAAATTGCAGCACGCGGAAAACACACGCGTCGCCTTGGCAGATGCACGGAGTGCAAACGGAATTTTTCTCGCCGCACCCTCGTGCACATAGAATCGATGTTATCGAAGTAAATTCGCGAGAGACGGGACGTTCGACCGACCGACGTTCTCGTAGCGTCACTGAATCGAAGTTAATACGTGCTCCGATACTCCGGTGTGCTCTGTAAGTTTCCCAATTAGGGGAAGCATAGACGTTAGACAAAAGGGACTTTGAATAACCGTAGATACTGTTTTGCGAATGCTCGACTAATAAAGAGGAAAGCAGGCGACCATATACCACGCAGTTTCCACCGTCGTCGCGATGTCCAGGTAAGTCTTTCTTACACCCAAATATACTCGTTGTTGATACTCGTGCGATTCCGCCTGTAACACACTTGCGTGTGCGTTGGAGAAGTGGTTCAATACTACTTAGAGTGTCTTGAGGGCGAGAGATGCCACATGTGCAAATCATTTAATATCTAATAATATCAGCAAACACGCGATTCGCCTCTCGACAGTTTGTCCCTTTCTCTTTCTCTTTCTCTGAAAGAGAGATGTACGTATTGCGTTTAGCTTTAAGTGTTGAGCAGAGAATTAATTGGTTTTTCGTTTCATTCGTCCCTCGTGCAATACGTGTCGTGTGTACGCTAATTGCCTTCTTTTACGGAAATGAATTATTTCACTAAAACATGAGCTAATTACATTGAAATTCGAGCAACATCGAAACTAAAATTCTCATAAACCCCGCGCGCGTGTAACGTTTCGCTTTAACGCGATATTACTCACGCGGCTACAATTAAAATAAGGTTAAATGAAATGTAAAAGAGATAATATTGTTTCGCATTATATACATTGAATAGAAACACGCTCGCGCGCCTCATCCCTTTCGACATGAAGTCGTGCGAAACGAAGAAAAATATTGCACGCTAGCGAAGTTTCTATGCATGAATATATCATGTTTTCATTTTGCACTAATATAACGAATAAAAGTGCGTTGTAGCAACGTTCTTCCCTTCTGCGTATCGGATTATCCTTTCCAAAAAAAAAAATGGGCCGTGCAAATGTATCTCTCTTTTTTTTCCTGCTATACCCGACGCATAGTGATAAAAGTACGAAATTTCGAAATACGAGGGAGAGATAGAGAGAGAAGTGAGGGAGAAGGGGGGATCTCGATAGCTCGTGTATTTTCGCGCAAGCTTAACACGAAATTCACCTGTGCATCGAGCGCAACTCACGATTCGCCGAATCGTTATTCCGCAGCTGTACTCTCTAATACACTCGGCGAGGACTGGCGCGCGCATAACGAGCACTAGTGAACAGTAACCGTAACTTTTTTTCGCGTTCGCAAAAGAGAAAAATGATGCAAGAACGAGCCCGCTGAGCTTTCGACAAAGACGATACGATCCGAGGTGCCCGGCGCTTCAACGGCTACGATCGATTTTTGCAGGAAGAGCCTAGAGTCCGAGGGCGGGCATACCTGGCGCGAGTACACCTACCGCAAGATCACACCGTGCGACGCGTGCGGCCAGGTGCTGCGCGGCCACAGCCGTCAGGGCGTCCGGTGCCGCGGCTGCAAGGCCAACGCGCACACGGACTGCACGAACATGGTGCAGCCGGCTCTGTGCCCGAGCCTGGCGCCGAAGAAGAGCGGCGGCATACCGTTGCTGAGGCGACAAAAGACCCAGGTAGCCGATGAGGTGCCGCCGGCGTCCGAGCACAGTGAGTAACAAGCTCGTCGTGGATCCGGGGGAGAGACACGCGCGGCAAACCGCGTCTCTCTCACCCCGTTTCTGTTCCCCACGTTCTCTTTCTTCCCCGCCGCATCCACCAACGCCACCGCCAACTCCAACGCCACCGCCAGCGACACGCGACAGCTCTCTCTCTCATTGTCGAGGACGCTTTTTTTTGTTACCCTCGGTGAATGACCGCCCGGGGGGTGGCCGCCGGTCGATCTCTCGATAACATCGTTGTCTCATCAATCGGATCGGAGATTCCTTCTTTTTCTCCCCATATTTTCATTTTTTTCTCCCCTTTTGCTTCTTTCTCTTTATTGTCTTTTTTTCTCATCTCGTTCCGCGGCAGAATGTCGGTTTATGCCGAACGCATCGTTAAAAATCGCTGAAAATTCATTGGGAGGTACGTTCAAATGCCACAACGCGGGCACGTTTCGCGGTTTGTTTTGCCCGTTACGTTTTAACGCACGGCGACGGCGAGTGAGTGTATTCGGACGAAAGGGAGGGAGAGAGAGAAAGAGAGAGAGAGAGAGAGAGAAAGAATATAAATAGAAAAATGAGAATTATTAATATAAACCAAGTGCTTCCTTCGCGTCCGGAGTCAATTTTTAATTTTACAGTCGGAAAACCTCTATAGCTCGGTTCACCCCCGCGACTCCATTCACTCGCCGATATTCTACGTAACTTTTGTAAAGGGTAAAGAGAGCGACAGCGAACAAGCGTTCGCTCGTAATTTACGAAGTGCATTCACGCACAGAAAGCACAATATTTCTTATTGCCAGCTGAAGGAACGTCTTGAAACGTTCCTCTTCTGTGTATACTTAATTGAATGACATCTTTCCGCCAACTCAATATCAAATATTGGAGTAATCGTAAAAGCTTTAAATTAAGATTGCGTTAAACTCAATATTACATCCGTAGAATGCGAAGCTTCCTGTCTATCCAACGCGCGCGACGCGTTTCTCTGCGCTACGCTTTTCACCCGCAATGGTAAATCGCTCGCCGATCGCCGTTCTGTACCGCTGCGCTGTCTCTCTTATCGTTTATAAACGCAAAAAGAAAGAAAGGGAAAAAAAGGGAAGAAGAAGACAGATCGATGTGAGGGCGAGCGCGAGCCGCGAATCACGATCTTCTGAAATCGCCGAATATGAAATTGTCGGTGCGCAATTTGCATTGCTGTGTCTCTTTATCCCGTGTGGGCAGACGTGGACGCCATATACCAGGTGCTGAAGCAGGCAGGCGAGATCCGGGGAAACTCGACAAACTCACCACCTACGCCTCCCACAGCAGAACATCCCTCCTCCGGTGCAGCACCTTCGTCAGCGAGGGCTTCCTCCCATCCTTGTTCCTCGTCCACCTCTGGTAAGACGCACTACCGAATTCCCTTCGATCTTGGAACGTCCCCGATTGGAACCCCCGAAATTCTTCTGAACGATGACGGATCGTACCTCGCGCTCTTCCGCGAGTCTCCAAAATCATTGTCTCAAAATGAAAGAATTTAATCTTCTTTGACGTTTTTATTAGATTATTGATTCTTTTATTCTTATTGTAGAGATTCCTATTGTAGAAATTCCTCTTATAAGACTTTATACTGTGAAGCATAGACAAAAATTTTTAATTTCGAATTTCCGGTAGCACATCTTAAAGAAAATATAAAAAAGTCCAAAAGTCCTGAAAATGCGCTTCAATCCGCTATTGCGCGGAAACTCGTGGAATTTAGTATTGGAAATCGCAGCTCGCCTTTGACAGTCGACACGATCATAAACGTGCAATATATTGGAATAATCGGGGCGTACCGTCGTAGTACTGGAGCAAATATGTACCTCGAACATGTGTATCATAGTTTCTCCGATCTGTTTCTCCGACTGATACTGATGTTTATCGACTATTCTCGAAGAGTATATTACTTTCGTATTCTTTCGTACAAACTCTCCGTAAAAGCAGTGTGAACAGTATTTAAGTTTTCTGTTATATTGTTATTATCATTGTAGTTATACTCTGTATACTCACCATGCTCAAAAAGAGGAGAAGGTAAGAATATAGATTTTATTTTGTTGATCACATTTGTCATATTCGCGGTACAAATTCGACGTAAATTTAGAAGAAAAAATATCTTGTATCTCTAAAACTTCTTAGCTATTTTCATATTCCTACCTTCTCGTTTAATAGTTACACCGCTACGTAATTGCTCTTATCTGTTACCTTTATTAAGCACGTGTTTGTGTGTGTGCACGTCTCTTATATTATCGTGGCTCGTTGCTCCAGTACTATCAGTTCCAAGGTCGCTCTGTATCTTTATGTAAAGCCGCTCGTCTTCTTCAGGGACATGACTCGTAAAATGTTGTATTCACTGTCGGTTCTCTGTTGTACTCCTTCCTTCTTGTTCTCCTTCTTCTTCTATATGCCTATCTCTTCTTCTTCTTCTTCTTCTTCTCCCTCCTCTTCTTTCTCTACCATTTCTTCTTCTTTTTCTTCTTCGCCTTCTTCGCACATATTTTTTATCATTAAGACTAATCCGAGCGATCCTTAGAAGTAAGCCATTATCGTTGGTACTAATCGATGTTATATATATCTATAACCGCGTTATATATCGATAAGACGTTATCACTATATCTGTAGCGCCGTAGAGCGTCATGTTTCACCACAACTGTCACGCCCATGACGACGAGTGACCGTCCGTTCAATAGTGTCTCACCCGCGACGGTGATTTTCAAGAGTTTTATCTCCGGTTCGCTTTATTTCACGGATCCTGTCGAAGTATAACGAGCAGCGTCGTTAACAGTTTTGTATGTAAAATCGTGACGTAAACGTAGAGATTATCGGACGTACGCTGCCATCATTAAGTAACAATGGGCGCCATGCCCTCGCTTCACGTTCTTCATTACGAACGTGCTCGATTTTCTGAAGGAGCCTCAAGCACCACTCGGTCGAGAAAGACTCGAGGATTATGTCGAGATACAAGTTGAACGAACCGATTTTTCGGAGTCGGTTTTGTCGTCATCGTCGTCGTGGGTGCCATTCCTCGACGACGAGAGAAACACTTTATCGCTTCTCCCCCTCTTGACTTTCGTCGCGCGCTTATTACGAAAGCTTATTAAGTTTCCCTCCTCGAGTTCCCCTAATTAGCTTTCTCTCTCATATATGCGACTAGACATCTCCGCTGTAATAATGATACATAATAATAATCATGGCGATAACGGTGATGATAATGGCTATAATTGTTAGGTTGATAATAATAGCCGTAGCGTCTGTAGGATCATTCTCTTCTTTTTCGTTATTTGATCGTTCAATTATAGATTCTTTCTTACTCTGTGTTTTTCTTGCAACCGTACGCTTCTTTTGTTTCTTTTTTTGGCAAACCTACAGGTACCCTCGCGCACCGACGTGTTACTTATTCGCGACACGAAATAGCGGTACCATAGTAGGAGTATTTTCGTGCGAGTAAATAATGACAATCAGAGTGGACGACAAGGAGCGAATAACGAAAAGAGAATCTCGCCAACTAACCTCGAGGGAACAGTAACGCCAGGATTTAGGCCAGTCTGTGCTATCCTAACGACAATTATTAACGAGAATTTGTGACAAAGCTTGACCAGTTTTGCGTAACCCTCTAAACAATCTCGGCAGCGAGACCAACTGACACAAGTCTTTCCGAGAAAGAGAAAAGTCGAGAGTGAAGAGTGAGAGTGAGCGAGAGAGAGAGAGGGAGAGAAAGAGAGAGAAATGCAATTAACCGCTAGAAGAAAGAGAGAGAGACTAGAAACTATCGGTATCCTTGAAATTTGATTGATCAGGACGCGGCAGCGGTGGATCCACTTCTGGCACGCGACCCTTCGGCCAGCCCCTGATGCTGATGTCGCAGGAGTCGCCGCCGTCGACGTCCTCGCAGAAGACACCCGAGATGGAAGTGCAGCCTCAGCGCGGTGCCAATAAGAAACGATGACGATGCGTCTCGTCTGGTCGCGTCTAGCGTCGCGTCGGACGAATTGCATTCACGCGAGTGCATCTGAGTGCGTCTCCACGTGCCGACAAGGATTCCTATCTCGTGCGCGAAGAACGCATCGCAGCGTCGTCGGTCTCGTCGTTTTTCCTCCTTCCCGGCCGAGTGCCGTCGATTTTATTTATTCGTCTGTGCGCCCTGCTTCCGGCTTTCTTCTCTTTTATCCCGCATCGAGTACGGAGTATTTGATGCATATTCTTGAATGTCCCGTCATACGTTTGGATGTTCCCGGACGATTGTCGCATTCAGAAGCGAATGAGTGATTTGTAACGGAAATGTATAACGAATCTTCGACAGAAGAATCAACATATTTTTACGAATTTTAACGACTTATATTTCTTACGAATCCTATAGAAGAACCAACATACTTTTGCAATAGATATCTTATCTGGCGCCACATCTGTTTGGCATCTGTCAAATAGATCAGAGGCATCTGTTGTCTCTAATGCCACTATGAGTCAAACGATATCGACATATTGTTCCTCGAGCAGTTAGCTCTTCTGGAGAATGAAAATTTGGAGAAAGCCACGAGTACGACGCGGTTTGCAACTCATTGATAATCTCCTGTCGGTACTTTAGCTCTTTGACTTTTTCTATGAGCGACAAGCTGAGAACGAGGAATTTTCACAAAGGGGTACATTCAAGAAATATCCAAGAGCATCCATTGAATTCGCGCTGTGCGGGACGTTATAATCCATTCGCTCTAATCGACCGACAAAATTCGATCGCCGCACCTTTCGCAACGCCCGGAGAGACACTTTTCGCGCTCGCTAATTGACATTCGATAATGACAAGCACGAAGGCGACGGGTGTCAAACGGACGCGCAAACGTCGAGCAAATGTGGGCGTCGATTCTCAGTTGAGTATATCGATCCGGCTGTGCATATAGGTCGCCGTATATTATATGAGACGCGGGGAGAAGGACAACGATCGAAAAAAAAAAAAAAGAAAAAAGGTCGTGTCTCTCACGCGAATCGACGATCGAACACGAAGGCACGCCGCGCGGGGTCGCCCGGCGGTCTGTTTTCCGCCGAGGTAATTAGCCGACTGCGCGATGAGGAAGAGCGACATGGAAGCGCACACGAGGAAAATACGCCGGAGAAGCCCGGATGCGCGCAGGATCGCGTTGCTGGAAGTCACGCTGTGTAATTCCGTGCAGCAAGAGAGCGGAAAGGAATGGAAAAGGCGCAAGTATGCGATGTGGATCGATTCGCCCGTAACGGCGCGGAAGTCGCGCGCGTTCCCCTATTTATCTGTCTGTCGTTACCCCTTCGCGTTGCCCTCTTGCATCCGACGTCTCGTTCGCGACAATCCATCGCACTTAGGAGTGTTTATCGATCGGATAGACGAAAAGAGAGTACACGCGTTCTCCCCTACGTGTCGCGGAGAACGTGACGTTTCCGATATAGGACGCGCGATATATCGTGACGTATAGCTTGAATAAAAATTCAGTTTTGATGCACACGTGTGCGTATGTGCGTGTATGTGCGCGCTTGGTATGCGTCCGTTTCGAAAACGTGACACGTACAAAATCGAGACTTTACAAACGGCGGAGGATAATTCTCCAAAAAAAGATATTCGAATCTTTTGTTATTTTAAATGCCGCATTTGTTACGGAAAACGAACAATTTCGATTCATCCTCACTGCGTTTTGTTTCGCATTAGAGGCTGAATGAGCAGCAAAATCTTATTCCTCTCAACATTTGTGCGTTTTCATCGCAGAACTTTGGATTGACGACATTAGAGGCGAGAAAATGCATGTCCACAACTCTTGTTGCGTGCCATTTCTGACTGAAAAGATATTTGTGCGGAAGAATACTTCTGATCGTTTGAGCATACCTGTAAAATGCCCCGAAAACTCTCCTTTTCTATTGACAATCAAGAAGTAGCCATAAAATTAATATAACATGCGGCCCTTCTCTTTAATCTCTATATTTCCTCATGATTTTGCCGCACTCATTTTACGGCTATTTGTCAGGAGAAAAGGATAGCTTTTGAAGCATTTTACAAGTATACTCCAACGGTCTTAAGTGCTCCTTCATGCAAATGTCTCTTTGGAAACGACACGCAAAAATTTTCAGCGTGTCATTTTTCGTTTCTGATAATCCAATATAGCCGCGGCGAGTAGCCATGAGCCCTAATTGACGCACGTTTTCAAATTGGTTCGCTGCAGACACGAATTTCGACGAATATAAAGTCGCGAAATCGGATTTGCGTCGCGAAGAGCAAAGCAATCGCACTGCGTGGTTCGTTGAACGTATGTAAATACAATCCATCGGAACGGTTTACGCTTCACTGTCGATTTAAATCGATATAACACGGTCACTATCGTTTTTATGCCGTCGTGACAGCGAACGAGGTCATTTCGCTGATTCTCCGAGACATACCGGTCTCTTTATTATTGCAGCGAACGGAAAATTCGTCTCGCGTTCGTTTCAGTCGTGCTGCTGCTGAATCGCGCGCGCTTCTCCCTTCTTTTATTTCTTCCTTCGAAGTGCACAGCGAAACTTGAACAATAATCTCACAGGGAGTGTAGAACTTTGGTGTATGAGGCACGCTGTGAAATTCGACCGACATTTTTATGGACGAAATAAAATATTCTTACGTGGCAGTAAAGCCCTGGAGCGATCGAATCGTCTCTATGCGAGTCCTAAATTTTATATACGCGCCCTAAATTCACCGCGAAGAAACGTTCGTTTCGCATTCTGACGCGGGAAACTGGTCGGTCGAGTTTTCTCGCGCGGCTCATTTGTCAACGTCCTGTTCATTATCGCGCCTTATTAACATACGAATGCGATAATTTGCGGCGTCGAGGCACGCGATTATGGAATAAGAGAGAAGAAGAAGATGATTTGAAGTAACCGATCTAGCATTCTATCATGTGATCTAGAGGACAGTATGGACCAAGTGGCTTATTATCTTGTGAATTGTTGCCTAACCGCAAACGCACGTCGGGAATACCGTCTGCGAGTTCTCCCCGACACGAAAGCGTATGTAAATATTGTAAATAAAAGTGCCTCTCTCACTGCAGTGTCTGACAGCCCTTTCTTGCGTATTTCGCGTGCGAGTCGTGTCCCGTCGTAATTACGCTGCTTGCGAGCTTTTTGTATATATTTCAGTGGTATATAGGTTACTCTTAATAATTAATTGTGCCGGCAAATAATAGGTTGTTCCGCTTACTCGTGCAACTGACACTTCCACACTCGACGCTGATGGCTGACCGTCTCTTTTTTAAATTGATTTCGTCACGATTTGCGCGGGATTTCGTTTATACGGCACATTTCCAACAGTGAGATTATCGATCCATGTCGAGTTCATTATGAAAATTTAATTGGACTCGCGCTCCGTTGCTTTTTTCCTTTCAACTCCAGCGTCAAATGTCTCGCCTAAAGATCCTGTTGATATAAAGGGCTGCCTCGAAATCAAATAAACACAGACAAAATTCTCTGTATTATCCGCGTCCTTCTAATAATTAATTGTCCTCATTACTGACTTGTTTTCACGCAGAATGCGGGTAACGATTCGATATTTTTGTCGAGAAAAACTCGAATTTATTTGCAACTCACAGACGAAACTTGCAACATTTGTTTCTGCTTAAAGTCCCCATGGTACATCCCCATGGCACGTTATTCTAGCTTTATGAATTATTAATGAGAGGAGCTACGCATCGGAGCAGTTCAGAATTTGAGGCTCCACCCCTCGACGATCAGCTTCCGCTGGTCGATCGTGAGCATTTAACGTCAGCGTCGAAGTGTGGGCTCGCTTAGTTAAAGCTAACATTCTAATCGATAATTGTGGAAAACCAAGCGCCGCATAGTCCGCAACGTAGACGCGAGAGGCTGAATCTAAGGATGAAGAGCCTGAGTCTGGACTCACCGGAGGGTACCGCACATGTACGGCATCGTCCGCGCGATTACTACTCCACCGGTCAAAGGGAGACAACACCGCCCCGACACTCCGACAGCGGCAGTATCAACAGGCTGTGTGAGTAGCCGCGAATCTCGCGTGATCTGTAAATTAACGTGGCATTAGGTCGGTGCATATAAAATGGCCGATTTGCGAAGCTTCTCTCTTAGCGTACAACACTTTCGACCGTAGTCGAATTGTCGAAAATCGGCGATTTAGTTGCGCCACGCTCTCTTCAGCTTCGTTTGAAAGAGTGTATTTGCTTCATAAAGTAAATTGGTGAACTCCATTCAGCACTCTTAATTCACGTCAGAGCGACGTGACGCTCTTACTTCGTACGAAGCAACACACACATACACACACGCTTTGGTTGTTTTGAAAAAGTAATGCCTCTCTATTCTTACGATTTGCGACGAAACTGATGCAACGCGCCAGAATTTAACTAACTAGCGTAATTTTTCCCTTACCAGAGAGGCAAACGTTCGAAACTTGACGTTGTAGTCGCAACTCGTAATATAAAACAATCGACATCCTCTTCAAAGAGAATCGTATTAACGTCAGAATAATAAATTTCAGTACGCAGAATTCAACAACTACGATATGAAGGTGCGAAAGAGTTTTTGATATATGTAATTCCTGCCCCGTTCAACCCTCTCTTACTTACCCATCCACCTTCACTACCCTTACCTACCCACGTTCACCTCCCCCCTTTTTGATGGACTCCTGCACTTCATCGAAATGAGATCAATCATGTGTTTTTATTTTCAAAGAAATACGTAGAGAACGCATTTGAGCGGGCCCCACTTAAGACACTTAACTCCCCCCTGAAATGTATTTCTACCCGAAGCTCGATACACACGAAACGGCCATTTCACATGTAGCAACCTAGTAGTCTTTCGACTGTACGAGCTCGCGAGCTCGCATGCGAATAATATCGTTTTGCAGCGCCCTGCAGCCCGGGTCAGAGCCACAATATGCACAAGCATGTGAGGAGTGCCATCAGGATGTCGAGCATGGAGCTGCCGGACGAGAACGAGAAGTCGTATTCGTCGGCGAGCACGTCGCCGTGCCCGTCGCCGCACACGAACAATCAGAACCACCTGAATCCGCCTGGCAAACGAGTACTGCCGCCGAACAACCTCTACGTCGTTTTGTACAACTTCGAGGCGCGACACCGAGACGAGCTGGACCTGAAGTAAGTCCTCGATCAGTGTTACGTGTTTCTAATAGAAAATAAAACGTTCCAGTTGTAAAATAGAATCTTGTTCCACGTATAAATTAAAATTCTTACATCGCAAAAACTTTTATGCTTGATATTGCATATTAACAATTTCTAAGCTTGGGTTGTGCTTAGCTTACTACAAATTTTAATTATCTTTTTATTGTAGCGTTTTTAAAATTTTCTGTAAATGATCTGCGAGTTGTCCCTAACGATCGCTTAGTTGTTTAGCTGAATCGTGTAAATGTATAATTGCGCAAGTTGACTTGAGAACGTGTTACTTGTGATTGCAGGGCCGGTTATAAGGTTACAGTGATCGACAAGTCGGAAAAGGATTGGTGGAAGGGCAAGTGTCTCGGTGGCCGCGCGGGTTATTTCCCGAGCGCGTATGTTATGCGAGTCGAATCCGGTCAGAGGACCCTTCAAGTCACGCGCAACCTACAGCTGGCCGATCAGACCACTCTCTTACGAGACCAGGTATTGCAGAAGAACTTTTAATTATTCCACGCGCACCCACGAATTCCTTTTTGTCCGGGTAGTCCAGTTTCCTTAATGAGGTCGCCGTTTTCTTTCTCGATTCATCGATCTTCGACGTTCAAATGCCTCAGTAATTAAATCCTGACTTCTACAAAACGAGAAGTGCACGTGTAATTTCTCAAATAAGATCTTACTCACGTTTTCATTACAGAATTCTTTGTCGCAAGAAAAAAGAAAACCGTATCACATTATTGAAGAACTAATCCTTACTGAAGAAATAATCCTCTTTCTCAACCGATGTTTGCTATGTAAACTCAGGTACAGCTACGCTTACGGGAATTTTATGTGCCGCTTTGGAATCCCTAATACAATCACGTATCTCAACGTAAACCCTTCCTAAACCCATAACATTTACATAAGATCTCTCTCTTTTATTTTTAAATCTTCAACATAAACGCTCTCTACGTCAAGAGGAAAAGAGATCGCTCTTGCTCTTGCGGCCGCTTTGCGGGTATTTTTCATTTTCAAGATCCCGACGCGACTTACACGGGAAGATTTCCCAACGAGCCAGAACTCGACCTTGCCTCTTTGTTTACGCCACGTTTATGTACGTTTACATACGCAGATCGTCATCCAAGTCGGCGACGAGGTGGACGGCGTGGCGATGGTGAGGTGCGCCGCGGACGTACGGTCCGCCGACCACACGGGCAAGGAGGGCGACGTGCTCTACAAGGAGATCCTCTGCCCCCTCAAGTACCTGCAGGAAGTGTGACAGCAGCCTTACCAAGGCATACGCGGTAACACGCATGTGAGCGAGCGCCGTCGGTACGTCGACCTGCGAGATCGCTTCTCAATGTCTACGCGTCGTCACGTCGCCGAGAAGTACTACGATTGCCTGCAGTGCGCCGAGCAATGCCGTCACGCGGACTTCGGCAATCCTAGTGGTAACATCAGCGGCAGCGGCAACAACAACAACAGCGGCAGTGTCAGCAAAAACAGTGGCGGCAGCGGCGTCGTTAGTCGAATTCGCGGCGCACGTCGTTTACCCACCACAAGCATGGCGTTGTACGGCAAGGATGTGTCGTCGCCTCCGCTCGACGATATGAAGAAGATTCGCAACGGCAGGAGCAGCTTGTCTAAGTCCCTATCGAGGCATCAGTCCGCCCACCTGACACCAGCCAAGAAGAGGTCCTCGTTGGCCCGGCCGGTTCGCGTCCACGACTCCTTCGTGCAACCCAGGAGGTTGATGGCGGCCGACGAACATCTTCCGCAGGAATCGGCCGATGAGCCAGATCATCGGGAACAGGTTCTGCAGGATCAGGCGAGCGCAATATCGTACAAGAACCCGTGGTGGTGGCAGGAGCAACATCAGCGCGATCAGCAGCCTAACACGTCGAGCTACGCTTACCGGGACGTGGAGGAGCGCGCCGGCGAGGACGGCGCCGGTTGGCCTATCCGTCTGCGACTCGAGCAGATGCTGGAGCTAACGCTACCTCAGACGAAGAGAAAGAAGAAGAAGAAGAAGAAGACCGCGGCCGCGGCCGCGGCGACAATGATGTTGATGAAGCAGCAGCAGCGCAGCAGGCACGGCTTTAAGGACACGGAGAGGCTTCTTAAGGTACTCAGCATTAACAATGTGGACCAAGATAATAGGTACAACATCAAACGATGTTCCGTCATGTAGAAGTTAGAGTTAAAACGAAAGAGGTTTAAAAAAGAAGTTTAAAAAGAAGATAAAAAAGGAAAGCAAACAAAGGTAATAATAAATTAATAAGTCAAGTAAGTAAAGCGTGTAACAGACTCCTTAGGGACAAAAAAAGAAAACAAAGAAAAACACGTAGGACACTGATACACTCGTATCTGGAATATCCCGCTTCCGGGCATTACTCGCGGTTAGTGGAGTCGCGGGGATCGAGGCGTGGAATCTGTTTCTAGTATTCTCGAGATCAAACCGCCGTCGTTCACCTAGGTGTTTACATTCGTTGTAGCACATGTGTTTCGCATTTTATAGGCGGATCCTGCGACACGAAAACGCGACCAAGTACAAATTGACGAAAACAATAGCGCGAGAAGAAAAGAGGAAAAAGAAATAAGGGAAAATTACTCGCGTGCGTTCGGGTCTTTGTTTCAATTTTGTTCAGCGCGAGAGAGAGTGAGCCGTTTCGGCGTAATAATTGCGGCATGTTTTCTTACCAAAAAAACTCGAAACACCACGCTCTCCGTTCTTCGACGGACATCACGGCCTCGATAACGCGCGCGAGCGTCTTAGAAAGGCAGAAACCATTTCCTCCTTGAGACCCTGTCGTTACGTTCTACCGTCGATCAGTTTAGAAATAGAGAGATCCACCTGCCAGCCGCGTATCCGATCCGCTATTTAGACACTCCGAGATCTAATATTCCCCTTGTTGCTTTGATCGGATGTTTTTACTTTTATAGGACGAAGTGGTCAATGTCGGTCCATTGAAGAAATTCCAAAAGAAAAAAGAAGAAAAATTTTAAAAAATATATATAAAGAAAATAGAAAAGATCCTTGACGGACGACGATCGTTTGTTGTTAACGTGTTGCATTTCGGTGTGCGGATTACCACGTCTCGTTTCGTTTCACTTGATGCACTTTGTGTCCGTGCAGATGTACAATGCGCGGAGCTAGTCGTTCGTATATACCACCTGTACCACCTGTACCGCGCAAAAACGAACCAAAACTCGTAAATTTAGAAAAAAAAATAGAAAGAAAAAAAAATAGAAAGAAAACAAGAAGGTAAAAGATTAGAAAGGGAAAAAGGAGAGAGAAGAGAAAGTAAAACCAATTTCATTCCACTAAACTGCCTGGGATCATCGCGGACGCCAAGTCGCGAGCTCCTCCCAAGTTTTACGACACAGCACCGCTCCGAATTATTTTTTATATCGAGAATACCGACGGGCTGTTATTCTGTCGGACGCGAAAATGATTAACGGCGGCTTTGCGATTCGCTCGTTTGTGATCGGAGAGACGAGTGGACGCAGGAGGTACGTCGCATTTATCAGAATTATTTCAATCTCATCCGAACAATGACATCGTATAAATTACATTCGAAACGCGGATTTTCTTTTCACATCGCCGATCATTGGCTATAATCGTTTCGCACAGAATTTATCTTTATTCTAAATTATGTATCCTTTGCTAAATTTTATCTTTACGAAGCTGTAGCTTACAAGTTTAAATTGTCACATGGTCATGATTTCTAAGACCGCGTGTGGACTACTGATTTGTGGATCAACATTCAGCAGAGTATTATCGCGTTAACAAATTGACAATGCATGTATACGACGTGATACTTAAGAGAGCAGCTGAAATTTCGCACGAATATATGTATAACGTACTTCCTTCGTTCGCTTGGCCCTTCGTGTTGTCTCGTTAACGGTAATCGTCCAGAGAGAGAAAGAGAGTGAGAGATAGAGGAGCAGCAAGTACCTACAAGAAAACGGATGTACACGCGTAATCCAAGTGCCATATAGCGTCGCAACAGCATAAAGCCTATAAAAACCTAAGCATTTGAATGAACGTTCCAGTATTAAGTATAAACAAGTGTGCGAGTCGTTGACGTAAATTCATGGCGCGATGTTTCGAGACGCACTCCCCTTCGTCGTGTCGTAGACGCTCACACGCATATAGTGTAAGACAAGAACCCCCTGTCCGCGAACGAACGTTACGAGGGAGGCAAGTCGATTCGCGTGTGTTCACCGTGCACGCACGTTCAAGTCGCGCAATGGATGATCGCACTCATTGAAGGAACGGGGGAACACGAGAGTCGTCGTGGTAAAGTCTCGAAAGTGTTTCCGTCGGGACAGCGAGCCACCTGCCTCTTAGTTATTCCTCGAGTGACAATTTCCGTGTCACATGACATTTTTTTTTCAATCGCTCAACTGTCACGAAGGAGGACCACCGTCGACCTCCGTGCCGCGCCAGCGAGAGCTTCGTCCGATTTTGACGCGCGCGAACCCGCGAATCGAGATAAGATAATCGTAGTTCTAAGTGTCGAGCGGGATCAGACAGCGGGAGAGAAATATTGTTTCATTATACGTTACATTGTACTGTCTTGTTCTTATTGGAGTGCCCTTCCTTCGTTAATGTGTCTGTCGAATTATTAACTGTAGCGCATAGAGAAGTAAGCTGTTCCAACTTTACCACGCCCAGTATTTCGTAAGAGTTATGTGTTATGCAAATCCGGAAAGAAACGACGAGCGCATAATTTATCGGCACGATTGCGTTCATCAGCACGATAGCGGTAGGCGGTGATCAGGCGATCGATATGGATCGCGCGCTGAGTAAACACGACGTTCCGCTTTGAGTCATTGTGTGTGCGTCCTTCTTTCTTTCTTCTCTTCTTCTGTTGTTTTTTTTTTTTACTTTTATTTCAAATTCACTGTGCCGACGAGAGAGAAAATTCGATTCGACTGGCGTTTGAAAATGGTTGCGGATTAACTGTATCTGGTGTGACGTAATCCTCAATGTTGGATATGTTAATAAGTCTAGTCTATTTACAAGAGAACCTTTGCTATACACCCGTGCAAATGTATCGTTTCATCGGAAAAATAGACTGCACGAAAAATATATTATCTATATAAATATATATATATATCATATACATGTATGTAGATTCATTAATTTGCTCCAACTATCCTTTTCCCTTTTATCCTTCATCTCTTTCGAAGCTGATGTCTCTTATGATTTCCTTCTCTCGTGTTTTCTTACCTTGCAAAAAATAGACGAATCTGGTGCGAGAAATCTCGCACAGAATGTTGTCTCATAAAATTGCTCACTCGATTGATTGCAAAATCGAAAAGAGCAGAAAAGCTAACGCGAATATCAAAGTAACAACATCGCGATGGTAACTCTGGAATCTCTCTTTTTTTCTTTTTCTCTCTTTCTCAACAACTTGCATCAATTCGTCTATTTTTGTAGCGAGTTATCCTTCTCTAAAAAGCAGTTAGGGATTAAAACAAATTCCACGTATAATGGGAAAGCAGCATTATATTTTTGATTACGGTCACAAGTAACGAGTAGCAACTACGAACTCTGTCGACGTTATAATCTCGCAAAAAGTTCTCTCATTAAAAGTTCTCTCTCAATCTCAGAAAAATAAGCCCGATAATTTGCTCGAACTAACGTGACAACAATGCGTGTAAATACAATCCCTGTTCGAAAAAATAAGAATTCATCTCTGATATAAAATGTGACTCGCGAGGCCCACGAAATCTCCTCAAGCGTTCTTCAGTGACTCCGAGCACGATCAACTCTCGCAGATTCGCCTCTTTACAGCTTGTACTTGGCTCCCCGGATAATTGGATACTTGTCGCCGGTGCAAACACCTCTAAAATCGTCCAAAGACAGGTCCACGATCGCCACACCGCCGAGTCCCTTCGACTTGACGAACGCGGCTTTGTTGCCGGCAGTGTCCGGGTCCTCGTATCCTGCCCAGATTCCTTCCTCGCCAGTGTCGCTATTGTATGCTTGATAAGCGTAGCTACCGTACTTCTTGGACGGGTCACTAACGCGTCGTAGTCGACCTGCAGCGTGTTCAGTCAATTTGGCACACATCTCGGCGTAGGATAGCACTCCTGGTTCATTGGTGTGAGGTCCTGGAGCGCCCGCACCGTCAGTCACGATGGGCGGCACGCCGGAAATCTGGCTTTCGGACGTCAACTTCCACGTGCGAGCATATGTCGGAATGCCAACGACAATCCTGCTACCGGGAGTACCGTTCTCCAACCAATACCTGAGAAAAAGTGTAAAGTTTGTTTCACAAAACTCGAAAGACTGGGTCCTCGGATTCCAACTGTCACCACCGCGATATTTTGTAGGAACGCGTGTTACGAGTCTGAGAATGGAAAGAAAGGGTCGTCGCGACTTGCAAGCCACCGTGAAGACAACTTATTCGAACTACAAACAAGTTCTGAAACTTCACTTCGGATATTTCTTGATAGATTCTCCGACATTTTCCGAGGAGCAGTTTAAGATATTTTGAAATAGTTGGAGATAGTCTGAGATATTGTCAAATATAATTTATCAATCTCATATGATATCGCGAAATTTAGAAGAAGTAACAAATGTGTGGCAGTAAGACTTGCCTCGTGGAAACATCGATATTATCTTCTGGTACGCGTCCGTAACTGCTATAAATCGGCGCTGGGAAGTCTGCTTCCTTCGCATTATATTCCGGTGTTTTCTGGTCGAAAGTGAAGAGATGCACGGCATCGATGTTGGGGGCCAACAGTCTCGCATCATAATACACTGTCAACGAGAGAAACAATCAAAATCCACGGTCGAAAAATTTGGATCGATTTTTGGGTCAATTAATTTAACTTTATCGCGTTCATTTGTGATAGATACAAACATTATTCATCAATCAAGTAATCGCTATCGGTTGTTTCACGATTCTTCATCAATATTCTAATGGTATTCTTATATCTCTGTCGTAAAAAGCATTTATTGAAAATCGAATTGACCTCTTCTTGACCCAATAATTCGAATTGGTGTCTGGTATTTTTACAAAAATAAAATAATAAGCTTGGCTTAATATTGATTATAGATATTTAGTACTGTGATTTCGGATTGCTAATTTCAAACATTATTGAATTAATTTTCTGACTAATATACGAACCACTAGCGTTCACGTGAGGCAACACCGTGACAGTCAAAGATTTAAGTCGCGGCCTGAGTTGCGTCTTGAGGTCACGAACCAGAATAGTGAAACCGTCGCGATGCTCTTGCTCCTTGTCGTCCTTGAATTTCCCATAGCCCAACTTCTTCTTGAGACCGTGCCAGAAAGAACCAAGAGTGCTACGTTGCTTCTTGGGCCTGACAGGTGGGAATTGCCATGCCAAGTCGATCCCGTCGAAGTCGTAGTCATTCAGCAAACGATTCACAGAATTGATGAATTTCGTTCTGCTCTCCGAAGTCTCGGTCTAAGACAACCCCAAAAATCTTAATTATTCTTCTCTGTGAATCGTTCTTTTGTTACTCTCATTGTCTTTTTTCTATTCTATATCATTTATATTTCTGCTCCGAGTGGATACATTTTAATCTTTATTTAAGTATTATTTTTAAATATCGACAACCTCTCACTTTAACGACGTGAATACGCACTCACCAACACGAGATATTTGTGCTCCTCATCGTAAGGGTCAGAATTCCCTCCGACGCTCAGGTAGATTTTTATATCGGGGTACGTGCGCTTTAGTTGCGTGGCCAATCGATAATAGGAGTAGCCCGAGCCGGTGTCTAAGTTTACGGAACCAGGTACGATCTCGAAGTCGGAATTAATGTGAGCATATCCGTAGATTAGGTGTGTGCATAGGGACAAAGCGGGTTTGACGTCTTCCAGTTGGAACTTTGCTGGACCTTGTCCAAAGTAAGACGAAAGTTTTCAGTATCTCATATTTTTATTATGATGACGAATGACATAGACTTAGAGTGGACTATAAAGATATACGACCGTGTTACAAACACGATAATCGTTAAACTACTGTCGAGACTTTTAAAACTCATTAAAATTGCATGCCAGAAAACGCAATTGTGTGAAACGCGAGTATTTAGATGAACGACTCTTCAGTTATGTATATTCGCTAATTTGGAATTTCCAAGTTCCAGATTTACCTTACCATTCAAAATAGATTGACCTTTATAACGTTTATCGTCATATAAACGTAATACGACAAACACTCTGGTAAATACGAGTCAGCGATACAGCCGAAATGTTTCAACTGTCTACAATGTACAAGACATATATTGGAGAAATTACCGCGAAATCATTTACAAATATAAATGTGATAATCTTATAATTATTGTAAACAAGAGAGATAGAAAAGAGGATGCGGCGGAAAATAATCCTATCAATCAAGTACGAAACAACATTGAAAGTCGTTATCAATTGACCTTTGTACACAGATCGAATTTACTCTTAAATAAACACCAGTTTGTGAAAATCGATGTGAATTCATCGTGTTTACTGAAGTCACAAGTTTTAAAGAAGAACAATCCGCAAATAAGAGATTAATTTTTCCTGTTGTTTTGATACGAAAATAACTTTCGATTGTCTGTATTGACTTAATCGTGTTTACATGGATTTATTTTAATTTTAACAGTCACTACATTCTCACACTGTGACTGTGAGTCATAAGCAGTTTATTATATCGCACGTCGCGCACAACACACATGTGTGTTAATGAAAGACAACCGTCCAATAATAAGGAACGGTTGGAGGATCTTTTATATTTTCCTTAAGTGTCACGTAAATATTCTTTCAAAGAACTTCAAGACGGAGCGTGAGTAATGAACGTAAATTGACGACGAGACTCACCTTGTCTGTCATAGGCGGTACTATTCCAATAGCATACCACTTTGCTGTGCTCGTAAGGATCGACACCGAGCACTGCTTGGATGCACAGCACCGAGAAAATGGTCAAGAGCAACGTCTTCATCCTCGCTGTCTAGAACTATAACGCGCTCATAATTAATCCGATCAACCGAGCGCTATTAAATCAGCTTTACTTTGCGTCACGCGAACTGCTGAGCTAATTCGATAACACTCCGACGGTCTTCAGTTTCCACGATGGTGAACCGAGATGTTTGAGTAGTCGAAGACGTGACACAACCATGACCGCGGCGCGACACACGAAACTACGTAAGAGGTCAAACTGTCTCTCTTGAGAAAGCGACATTTAATGGTGCTTACACGTCTCACGATGTGTCATTTGCTCATTCTCTATTATTTGAAATGTTTCAAGTTAACACTCAAGTGTGTTTAACGGTCGCGATTTCAATTCTTTACTTAATGTGAGAGATTGGCTCGAAGATATTACATTCTTTATTTTTCATCGGAGCAATTTTTTCTTTTCATTCAGTAGAGATTTTTCGCCTAATTTCCGAACGTTTGAGAACTTCTTTTTCTACATGCGTCTTATTTTTATTCACGTCTTACCTTCAGTAACGACCGGAGCGTACTGGCGCGCCGTTGCTCCTTGTTAAGGACTTTGAAACCTCGATCCGTTCTTCGGTTCGCGTAGTGGGGCCTGCCGATATTACGTCAGTCCAGTGATAGCTCACAAGCGAGTCTTGTCGTCGTGTTGGTACATACAATCGAGGTGCACTCGTTCGTGAATTCGTCAGATGAACGTTCGTAACTCACGCACACCGCAAACGCCAAGGTCGGAGGTTGCGAAAAGTATCGTCATCAGTATACATGACATATACCGATACTATTTGTGTAATTAGCGATTACTATATTCTCCGTACCCGGACGATAGGCAGAAAAGTGACCCATGATCATTCTTTCCTTCTCAGGGAACGTGATATCCGATCGTACATTTCTCAAAAACACATTCATTTGTAAAATTTGATTTTAATATATTTCTTGTAAAATTTATCTCGATGACGTTGCTTGTTCGTATTAAATTGTTTAATAGTTGTTATAATTTATATATATATATTTTTTTTTTAACTTTTTTTTGTTAACAGGCGTCAGCTATATAACGTATGCTTGGAGAGATTCTGCTTGTGACACTCCCCGTAAATCTTTCCTCTGAAAGATATCGAATTTCGAGGTGAGACTTTATCCCTGTAGGCTTCGAAGGATCGACTGCTGATGCATACAAAAACAACTCGTGGTGTTTTTCCGATTTTATTCCGAGGCGGATATCCTCGAGTATAAAACTCACACGTTTGCATTGACGATATCTTTTGATTTGCAAATGACGTTAACGCGGCACACTGAATACGGTCGAGTGAACATGGGACTATCGCGATCAGCTAAAATCACAGACTAAAAGTAAATGTATACCCTCCGAGAGAAGCAGCCAAGCCAAAAAATATCAACGGAAAAATTTGTCTCGTGAAACTATGAGTGTCCTACTTTGTACTTCGCGAATTCGCTCGACAAGTTTCCCTTTTACTTTTATTTTATCCATTACGATTTTCCGTGTACGAAATTCGTACACGACTTATTTTAATTCTCATACATATTGTTTATTGTTTCTTATGTATACTTCTTATGTATATTGTTTCTTCTTCATATCTTAATATTAAGTATAATTAATTTATATTAGTAATTATATATTAGTAATTATATTTATATCAGTAATTATACAGAGCAAGATCAATACTATTCCTATTAAATCGCTCTTAATTTATTTATTATTCACGGGAAACTGACTCAACGCGGTCACGTATCCACACGTGAAGGTCATTGGAGCGTGAGCTCTTCTAATCTTCTCAAAGAGGCGCACAACAGGATAATTGGACACGATCGTGTGATGTGCTCATACATACAAGCAAGCACGATGACATGTACACACTTTTTCGAGCATTGCGACACTGTTGCTTATTAAGCAATAAGAAAGCAATAAGAGAGACGATGTTTGACAATATATACATTATTAGTTATAACAGATATAGAAAAGTGTTATGAATTTTTTTTAATAATAATCATTATTTAATTAGCATTACGGATTAAAATTACAACATTACATAACATTTGATGGCAAAATCATGAAACCTCGTAGAGCACCACAGATTTTGATGGTTCTCAAAATTTTTTCGGAACGTAAGTGATTCAACAAAAGCACCTCGAATCGATGCTTTTTCAATAGACTCGTTGCGAGAGGATTAAAACGTGTAATTTTTCATCAGATATTCGCTGGATTTGTTCAGCAGCGCGGATTCTATATATGAGAGGATTATCGTAGGACCATTTGATAACCAAAGGGAATCATCACGTTAAAAAAGATTAAAACGTGCGATCGCGCACAGACGAATATGGTATGATTGCGTTCTTGATTCCACTTTCTTCCCCTGTCAAATGCCTGCCGCTTAGTTCAGCGAGAATAAGGTCTACAATGATAACTCGGGTTAAAGGTTAAAGTAAAGCATCATCCCTCGTGACCCGCATGACTAACGTGAAAGCGTATTTCTAACATAAGCGTGCCTTCTGGAAATCCGTGATAAATATGATACGAACACGGCGAAAAGAAGTTTCCATGCTAATAAAAAGCGAACAAAAAAGTTACGACGATCCGCAAGCAAACTCCGGTCTAGTCTCTACCACTATGAGATATCGACGAGCAGAATTTTCAAATACTCACAAAAATTTAATCACAAAAATAATTTTTTCACAAAAGTTAATCATTAACAGAAATATATCGCGAACATCGAATGTCGGAATATATGAAGATCGGTGAAGAAAATCAGCTCGATATAATATTTATGTTTATTACTGACTTTATTACATATAAAAGAAACAAATTATTCATCAACCAAGTAACCGTTGTGTCATTACATATAATCTTTGCTCCCGCGTTCTGATAGCATTCGTACAACGCTGTCGCCGTAGAAAGTAACGGGTTTACTGTCGAGGAAGACAGAAAATCGAAATAAATATTTTAATTGACTCAGCACTTGCACTAGAAACTCATGCTGTTTGATGTGTTCAACGTCCGCAAGGTTCTTTCAAAGACTCCTCCTAGTGCAAAGGCGACGTAGCTTCGCAAATCTTTTAAGAGGAAAAAGACACAACAACATTTACAACGGTTCTAAGAATCGATGGAAATGCAAGATACTGGTATCGCCTTACATAATACACGTCTGAGTAACTTGACTAAGAGCAACTAATGTGATATTGTAGTATACAGTTATATAGATCATATAAATCAACTAACAAGGTCGACACGACGCTTATAGAAATATCATACTAAGAATCATTGATAATTACTTATTTTCAGTATTAAAAATACTGGATAATAAGTAATTATCAATGATTCTTAGTATGATATTTCTATAAGGGAATATCCATCATAAATCGAATTTCCGAGTAATAAACCAGAAAAGTTTGTTGCATGATAGGTAGATGAAAATCTAGGTGTGCGCAAGAAAAATTTGAAACGTATGACATTGTTCTCTTATCAAAATAAGTCATCGCCGTGAAGACCGCATTTCCATCCGATCACGCGTTCTCGACTAATAAGCGCCGAAAATTTGTCATGTGACAAGCAGGTGAAAATCCAGATATGCGCGAGAAAAATTTGAAACCTATGACACTGTTCTCCTATCAAAATAAGTCATCGTCGTGGAAACTGCATTCCCGTTCAGTCACGCGTTCTCGAATGATAAGCCCCGAAAGTTGGTCATGTGATAAACAAGTTAAAATGCGCAAGAAAAATTTGAAAAGTATGTTCTACTATCAAAATAAGTCATTATAGTAAAAACCGCATTTCCGTCCGATCACATATTCTCGAGTAATAAACTCCGAAAGTTTGTTATGACAAACAGGTGAAAATTCAGGTGTGCGCGTGAAAAATTTGGAACGTATGACATTGTTCTCCGACGAAAATAAGTCATCGCCATGGAAACCGCATTCCCGTCCGATCACATGGTCCGATCATTCTCGAGTAATAAGCGCCGAAAATTTGTCATGTGACAGATAGATGAAATTCCAAATGCACTACAGAAAAATTTCGAAGGCAAAAATCTCTTCTACTTTGTAACAAGCATTTGTTACACAATCCATATTAATGGCGGGTCACGCGTTCTTGAGAAATTTACGTCGAAATTTGACTGCCCATCTTGCAGATGTAACACTATGTTATACAATAGAATTTTCATTAATAAGAATTTTTTTTACAATAATAGTAAAGTAATCTTCATGCAACTCGCATTAGCTTCATGCGTTGGTATTATTTATTCAGAAAGTTATAATATATAAGCAAGGGGTATTGTAGTATTGATCTCGCTTGATAATTTCGAAGAGCGTCCTATAGAATGCAACTCGATTAAAACATCAATTGAACTTTATGCATAGCAAACATACGAATTATGTATATTTCGTGAAGGCTTAGCTTGGGACATATGTTCTTGTTCCTATTTTACTAGTCGATCTTTAATATTAAAAGGACTTGGTTTGAATCAAATAAGAGAATATTGAAGTTTTCCAAGAAGTCCTATCCGAAGTTTCTCGGAAGTCTACAAAACAAGGCACGATGATCATATTGAATTACGCTCTCTCGATGACTTATCGCTTTTTGTTGGAAAGCTGAGAGTTGCGCGCATCTAAAGTATAGTTGTTCTTCTTGACATCAAGATTGATTGGTAAAATGGGATGCAAAAGTGATGTCATTATGTAGTAGCAATGGAGCTAATATACATTGAATAGAGTCTATAAATAAGATATAAATAATTTTCGTATAATCGTATCTTTATTTATTGCCGAAATTTGAATCACGAAAATTTGTAACAGACTGACCAAGTAAACGCAATTGAATATGTCAGGTGACAAAAAGAGCGAATCTGAAAATAAAATAACTTATTGTCGTGCTATTTGCTTGTATTCGCTCTGTACGCCGAATTATTATCTAGCTATTAATTATGAAAGTTAGTCATAAGAGTCATTAAATATAGCGAATTCGTAAGAATACGCAGTTTAATTTAATACTACGCACGCTACTTTTTCTTATGTTCTGTGTCCTCCATCGAGACTTTCCAGTCGAACATCCTCTGTTCCGTCGTGGCACATTAAATATTCACTTGGGATTTTAACCCTGATATTGCATTAACACTGATATTCTCATCTTAGCACTGTAATTACTATCTTGACACTGACATTGATGTTGCCATCTTAACACCGACATTGATATTGCTATTTTGGCACTGGTACCATGTGACATGGATATTGCCATCCTGACACTGATATCACTATCCTGGCATTAGTATTCTGGTTGAGACTTACTTTCGACACTTCTGACATTATTCGCACACAACACTCTCTTTTAACAGATTGATAATTCTCATTTTCGTATAACGAACGTGCGATACTTTTCTCGGAATTCCCGACAGCCCGTTCTCGACAAACCCATTCCGAAAACGTAATTGACAATATTTCGGTACGACGAACGTGCGAGACTTACTTTTAGGGTACTCTCAACACGTTCATGTTCTTCTCCAACAGATCGGTGACGCGAAACACAACAATTGACGACTCGCATTTTTAGTCGCCATCAATACCACGAACTCGCCGCGCGTAAATTCTTCTCAAAATTTCAAACTATCTGTTCCGCAATATGCCATTCCGGACTTATAGCTCCTGCACACAGGACGCGCGAATGAATATGTTGTTTTTCCGTAAGAGCTAGAAGGTTATTACAGAAAGCACCATATTGATTGGATGTCGCGCGAACTTCCGCCGCGCGGCAAACATTACCGCGTCCTGTGTGCAAGAGTCATTATTTGACAATATCTCGTCGCGAGAACGCGTGACACTTACATTCGACACTCTCGGCGATGATTTAGACACGAAACTCGCATTCGGCGAATCGAAATGGCGGAAACAACGGTTTGTAGAATACATTATTTCTGTTGCGTCGTAACGGTTTCCGAGCAATATTGCCAACTTATGAGGTTCGTGGTATCGCAATAACGATCAACTACTATTGGCGCGCAAAGGATGCGTTGAAAAACGTCACTCGGGCACCCACTGCGTTGGAATGAAAGAGATACGAAAGTGAGATAAAGACAGAAAAGAGCAACGTTTCCGGATAATATTTCCAAAACATGCAAATAAGCGGTCTAAAGCCAGCAGCATACGATGCTTGTTTTCATATTGATTTATTTGCTGGATGAAAATATTCTGTTTTGATTGGTGCATTTTTAAAAATAGATGGAAATGCACCAATAAAAACAGAGTATTTCCATCCAGCAAGCGATCTAACATGAAAACAAGCATTGTGCCGCTGGCTTTAGATCCGTTATTTTTGATTGGCTGCAAATTAGTACCAAAGTCTCCACTACGAGCCGCCACTTTCCTGAACGGGGAATTGGGGTCGTCATATGAGACTAAACAATATGTCAGACGTATCTTCGCTTTATCAAGTAGTATCACTCAATGACGGATCAGACGTCTTTTGTTCAAAGATAAATTATAAAAAAATATTAAACATAATGTATTCATGAAAGAGTTGACAAATGCAGAAAAGAGTATGACTATCGTCATCGAAGTGAAAGGACGCTCTGAGAAAGAAAAGGTGTTAAATCTTAATTATTAAAATATCATAGTGAAAGTTTTAATGTAAGAGTTCATTTAAAAAATATTATTAATCATATTTGTACATGAAAATGCACGCTTTTCTTTTCTTTTAATTCAAATTTTATTAGTGATTTAAACCTAACCTACCCAGACAACATATGTCTTTATGAGACGTTTTGTGAACGTCCTGAACACGTCCTATATATTTTCTAGACATTTCCACGACGTTCTCAAAACGTCTCTTGGAAAGTTTATATTGTCTGGGTAGTAATTTGTGATAAACAACAAGCTTCATGCTTTAATCTTTCTTTTTCGTTAAATTAATATTATTATCTTAATTTTATAAATAGAAATCGTTAATCAATAATCTTTATTGTTTTAAATAGTTTTATTTTTATTTACATACACATTTGTTATATTATTTCTTTTCCTTTCTCTTTTTTTAAGTTTATCTTTTTTCAAATTTACCTTACCTTATGTTATCTACTTTGTTCTATTAACTTTGTTTCAAGTTCATTTATATTATCCCTGGTAAAAAAAGTTGATAGAGAACGATTGAGAACGATAGAATTTCTATCAATTTGTATTGTTTTCTATAAGCTCTATCGTTCGCAAACGTCAGCATTCGCGAGCATCAGATATAAATCTTATCGTATTTTATCTAGTTCTATAAGAATCGGGTTCTATTTGTATTATATAGGAAACTGACGATAGAAATTCTATCACTATCTATTGTATTCTATTGTATACGATAGAATACTATTCACATTTATGAATTCATAAACCAAAATTCATATTCAAAACGATAGAACAATAGAATTTTTTTCTATCGTTCTTTATAAACTTTTTTTTACCAGGGATGTGTTTATTTGTTTTCCTACACGCAATTTTCAGATTGAAACATCCTGATGGAGGGAAGTTTATCATGGAATTTCCAAATTAAGGAAGTTTCTCGAAAAGGGAAATTGCGAGAGATTAAATCGAGGTTAAATCAAGATTTGTGTTCTTTTTCACTTTTATTACGAAAAGAACATTATGTACATTTGCATCTTCTTTCTTCGTATATATGTATATATAATTAAGATCTAGAACTATAACAAAAATATTTCACGCTACGCTCGTAATAAACTCCTTAACATAATTCCTTTTACCGGTTAAGTCGTTATTAGTTAAGGTTTTCGGCAAGAATGAAATAATAAATAACAGATCTCCCGCGCCGATTGTTACTTTTTTCCGTGATCCATTATATTGGCCAATTTCGCCACTGTTCGTCTGCGAATGTTAATTAGCGAGCTTTAGTCAGGTCGTTAAAAATAGACGTATATAATCTACGATCGTCAGCGACAACAGACATCGGTAAAAGGAAAAAAGAGAAAAATCAGGCGATTGACGGGATCGTCGCCATAACTAACATGAGCTGCGCTAATAAGATTGATGAAAAAATGGAATTGTGCGTGTCAATGTGCCATTGTCGCCGTGATAACGGTACCGTAAACCGGGTTTAGACAGCATCGACAGGGATAACTTTACACCGCATGCATTTAGATTGCCATACTTGCCGTAGTATTTTGTGAATAATCACATGGAACTCTTTTGTACCATCGTCAAATTTGTTTTTCGATGTGTGTGTGTGTGGAAAGAAAGTTGAAGAAAGATATTCGATCATTTTTTTATACAGACTCATGCAATATATGTATTTAAATTGTATAATTTAAATATTTCCGCGCATAAATCTGTGTATAAAAATGCATATTTGCGGACATCTTCACAAATATGTACATCGTACAAATAAACATTTAATATTGGAATAACGCTGAAAACGCGTTTTGGTCCATTCTGAGTCTTTTCCAATGTCTGAAATCTTGCAACAGATTATGTAAGATCCGTTTGGAAATGTCAGAATTTCATCGAAAAAAATGAGGTCAAATATTACGGAATTCGATATATCACTCGTTTTGTTGAGCCAAGCAAAATCCTAAAGAATAAAACAGACCTCAAGGTAAAAAGACGAAAATATTTACAAGAATAATTTCGAAAAGAAAACAAAACTCATGTATAGCAAACGTACAAAGCCGTGTAAGGAAATGATATAATAACAGCGATGGAAATCTGTATATAAATTGCGCAATACTGAAATTAACATCCAAGGAAGAAATTCGTCCGGTGAAACCGAAATCCACGAAACAATCGCTCGGTGAAAGTATACTCGTCGTTAGGCGCAGTTAGTTTCCGCTAATGCAATGTGTAAGCCCAAGCTACCGCACTTGTACTAGTCAACAATGTCACGAGTGTCTTAAGTAATACGTGCAGTTAAGTCACTTTTGACGTACTCGTCTCGTGCATTGTAGATCTTAGTCTAGAAAAATACAGTCTGTTTTTTCTTGCTTTCTTTCGTCGAGAGTCTGCGTTACGGTCGCGCAGCGCCGGACTTCCACGTTGCCGTCTGGCCTGCGTCGGACGCCTCGCTGCGGCTGACAATATTTGTACCGTGTATATATACAATCATATATAGAATTGGCTAAAATCACGTGCGAAATGCAAAGATGGATCAATTAACTGAGCGCACAGGAGCGAGTACTCTCGCCGTACTGATTCATCGTAGATAAAATCCGCGGATCAATCTGCCAGTCGAATTGTCCGTCGAGAAGTCGCTCCTATGTGTTCACCTAATTTTCGCACGCTTCCCGCGAAATGGCATCGAATGATTCACGCTGCACTTAATGAATATTCTTCGCCGTCGACTGAACCCGAATACGATTCTGATCGATTCTGATACGAACAATGCGTATCAGCCAGGTCAGATCATCTACTTTTCATTCGGCTTCTACTGGTGTCACATGGTCAGCCGCGCAAAATGTCAGAACAGCGCCGACTTTATTCCCGTTTTCCTTGGTTCAGATTATCCGGATATTCAAACAAGTCGCCCTCGTCTGAAATTCAAATGCGAGAATGGTTTCATGACTGGGACTCAAGTCGCGACCGGACGACGTTCAGTCGATCTCAAATTACCTTCCCCCTCGTCCTCGCCTTCCGCCAATCGAATGTCGTTCTTTTGTTGGGGTTCCTTATCGTATTCACCGCCATCGTACTGATCGTCGGCATTAGCTTGCCCATCGTCTAATCTGGAATCAGAAAATCTGAAATCATGTAATCTGGAATCATGTAATAACGTGTTTACCGAGGAACAGAATGTATCTTGCAAATATTACACCAAAAATAGCACATTAATTTGTTTGTAATATGAAAGAATATTATTTCGTACAATTTACTTATACATTTGTATGTGTGTAAGTGTGATTCTGGTATTTTATAACAATTATGACAGATTTCCATCGCTGTTATTATATCGTTTCTCTACATGGCTTTGTACGTTTGCTGTATGTGAGTTTTGTTTTCTTTTCGAAATTATTCTTGTGAAAATATTTTCGTCTTTTTACCTTGAGATCTATTTTATTCTTTAAGATTCTGCTTGGTTCGACAAAACGAGTGGTATTTCGAATTCCATAATATTTGGCTTCATTTTCTTCGATGAAATCCTGACATTTGTACATGTATAATTCTGATATTTTATAACAATTGTGACTGTGTGTTATTATAATAATTATAATAACATATTGTGTGAATGTTGAAATTGATTTGTTCACTTGCTAATACTTATTGCAGAACAGAACGACGCACTCACCTGGGAACTCGATTCAGCTCCTCGCCGACTTCCTGCACTCCAGGCCCCACTTTGAACCAACCGTCGTTCGCTCTCCTCTCGATCTGTTCACCGACATGACGCGCAGGAGGATTCGCGACGAACGGTGGGTCCAAGTTGCCGGCTTCGACAATTGCTTCTTTCTCTTTACTGTCCGGATTCGCCGGAACGAATTTCGGCGGTGAATTGTGAACAGCGTCGTCCCGCTTCCGAGTCTCTTCCTGATGTGTCTCCTCCGGCTTCTTGTCGTCCTCTCGGATTTCCGGGATCGGCAGTACGCCGATTGGCAGTTTGACCTTTGGCCTGTGTGGTGACGGTGCCTTATCTAGAGACGGCGACACCATGTTGCCATTGTTCGCGCTTGCCACGGTAGAGGTATTCCCCGCTCTTCGCGAACTCGCGGCGTCGTGTACCACACTCTGAAAAACAAGAATAGGAAAAATATTTTTCACGATTATACATGACTGGTATGACCATTCGATGACTGGCGATGCGAACGCAAACTGCGTCGACAATTGCAACGCAAAAGTTTTCGGACAGTAATCTTCTTAACTTTTATTTAAATAGAAAAAGATGCATTTTACATAGTATTGAATTAAAATATATTGAAAAGAGAAAAAATATAAATTACGTAATCAATATTCACAATTCTTTTTATCCTAAGTTTTGCTTTTCAAAGTCAAATTTTAAGTTTCCTGAGTTTTGCCTTTCAAAGTCAAGTTTTCAAATTTTATTTGCATAATAAGTCAAAATTCACAAAACGAATAATGTTTTGAATTAACATATTTTGCCCATTTTTACATGTTTCTGATTCGGTTAACTGATCAATACTGATCAATAATGAATTACTCGGTATTTTAATTAGTTCTCATAAATATTTAGAAGTAGAAATATTTGAATGCATGTGTCTTTCGAAATTCCATATCATAACGTTTTCTTCGCGTGGTTTACATGTTGAATATGTCACGTCTACATTTTTCAAATAAAAAGGCGCACAACGTATGACAGAATACATTCAGATTTCATTCTGACTTTTTTTCTATTTTGCATCGCATAATATATAAACGAGCTCGTTGAAGAAATTCCATTATTCCCAATTTTTCTTCGTTATAATTTAACGTAATTTATATGTTTAACATCGATGAAATTTTCACGTCGCGGTCTTTTTATATAAATTTTCCATGCCTCATTATAATCTCAAACATAACACATGAAAATTAAGTTTAGTTTCAAAAATATTATTATTATTTGTATATCAAAAACAAATAACGCGTTTCAGATAACGATATTGAACAGAGGAAGCTGTGAGTGCAGAACACGATCCAGTGCAGTGGAAGAGAGGCTATAACTACGGCACTACGTGAATAGAGACAAGCTTTTCACGATATCAGCTGATTAGGTTTTTGATTATTCTTCAGTAAAAGATAACCCGCGACTCCAGTAAAAATAAATTAATCGACGGCGATAAGACACTGTTAAAAGGCGCGATGCGAAAGCCACTAATATAAGTTAGGTTGTACGAGGTTGCTAATAAAAATGCACAAGCGAATAAACATAATAACAATTTATTAATGCGTCGTGGAACACAGATGTACAGGCACATTTAGGACGGCTCACGAGCCATTATACATGAATCATCTAGTTTTCAAAGTGATAAAAGCATGCCTTGTAAAGAGGGCGAAAGATCGGTCGAAAAGATTACACGAGTGAAGACTGTCTATATCCTCGAGACATTCCACAGTGTTTGTCGCGCTCACAAGTCGAGCCACGAATTGTTCGCGCTCACAAGTCGAGGCAGAAAAATGTGTCTACAAAAGCTGCACAGACAAACACGACAGTCGAAAAACATATCTGAGAGATGTCTAAAGAATATCTCAAGATTAGAATAGCTTTCGTATATGTCTCTCTTTCGATGTCTACGAGAAATTAGTATCACCCAAGAAACCATTAAGAGGAACAAAATTCAGATTGTCATTCCGATAATGACCGCAATGTGATAATGACAAGCAATATTTCTCGTAATATTAATAATTCCCACTTTTACAAGATTGATATATAATACGCGCTAGAAACAAATATGTATGTATATATATATATATATATATATATATACATATACATATATATATATATTTTTTTTTTTTTTTTAAGTGTAACAAATAGAACACATAGTAAACGTTAAAAACACTAATAGTAATGAGTAATATTATCATATACGTCACGTAACGCTAGAAAAGTACATCACAAATGGAGCAACTTGTCGAGGTAGTCGGGAAACCGCATCGCACTCGTTAATCAGCGCGTTGAGCTGTGTTTCCCAAAAAACCACGCAATTACCACAACCAGAACGAGCTCTTCAAGTGCACAAGAAATGCAACTTGTTCCGATTTACGATCCTAATCTCAAGGAACACGTTCGGGAGAAAGTAGTATAATAGTGATACAAAGATACAAACGATAAGTAATTTCACTTTTTAGACACGTGTATGAATATACATACGCGCGCGCGTATCGAATACGCACGTCGTTTATTTGTCATGTTTGATATCAATTCCGATACAAGTGGTACTAGGAGAAAGAAGAGAGAACTCGAGAGAGCGACTGAGAGAAGGAAATCCGTATATACACTGAGCGGAAACGAAAGAATCTTCTACTTGAGCGCAAACCATTACGGATTAGGTCTCGAAGAACCCGATCGCGTGACGCATTCTCTCTCAATTGACATGTTAAAAATAATCTAGTCGTAAGAGAAAGTAATAACAAGTAAAGCGCGAGAGATTCGACATCCCGTCATTGAACATTATGGTTGAGGATTCCACCTACTCTCTCCTGCAGAGCCTGTAGCTCATCATCATCCGCGCGCGCTTCGACGACCGGTCGATCGAGCGCAGGTGCTCTGGACGTTTTCTCGACGAGAGACCCTATCAGCGGCACTTCAGCCTGCGAGCCCGCCATCGGAATGTAGTTATTTTTCGGGCCGTCGTCTTGATTCGGCGGCGGTATTACCTGTTTATTTTGCTCCTCGTTGTGGCTGTTCTTGTCGCCATTCTCGTCGTCGGCTGGAGCTACCTTCTCAGCTACGTCCGGACGCTCGACAACATTTTTATGCTGCCTCTGTTGAAGGTCGTTAACCAATTGCGGAGACTGCTCACCACCGACCTCTTTCAGGTCGCTCGCGTCGGCTGGAACGATGTTACCGTCCCTCTGAACGAACCTAATGTCGCCGGCCGGCTCATTGGCGTCGTCGTTTAACTTTTCCTCCAACTGAGCTGCTCCGTCCGCGCGATTGTCGCGAGGTGCGTGTAGAGGCTGCGGCGAACTTACCTGTTGTTGTTGTTGCTGTTGCTGTGGCGCCGGGATCGGCTGCGAGCCTTCCTTCGGTGCTGAATGTATCACCGATGCCTCGGGACTCACTAAACTTGGGCTCGGTGATGTGCTTCTTACATAAGAATTCTGGAAAGTATGATTATATTTATGAAACTATATTAATACATATCATCGAATTAAAGATTAGAAGTTGAACAATCGCGCAAGTCACGATTAAAATTAATTGATTTATCGAAATCTAATCTCTAATTCGGTATTTTCTTTTTGTTTATAATCTTGATTTTTATTTCGTATAACTTTGAATATTTTGAATACGCTTGGAAAAAATTACTTATTGATGTCTATTTATTTATTAAATTCGTACATTTAAAAAATTTAGAAATGTAGAAATTTAATTATTTTTACATGTAATTTACTCATTGGCGCTAGTTTTAACAAGATATTGTTCAAACAGGTACCTTGGTCTTCTCGAGTTCATGCTTGAGCTGAGACACCTCTTTTTGTAGTTGCATAATGGTATCGCCTTTTATGTTCATTTGTTCGTTGTATTTTACTTGGAGTCTCTGCATATTCACTTGCAAATTCATGTATTTAGTCTTCAAGTTCTCTATAGACTTCATCTTCTCCTCCTGCGTTTGTCGGATGCGACTGCGAAGATCCTGCAGCGTCGTCTCCAGCCTACTGGTCTCGTCCAGCGCCTGCTTCTCATGCTTCTTACACTCCTCCTGCAAATCCTGATGTTCCGTCTGCAGAAGCTTGTAAGTCTGCTGGAGCGAGTTAAACCTCTGCATCGCCTCCACGCTATCCTTGTCACGTAGCGACTTCTCCCTCGACGCGCGCTGCTGCAGTTCTTGCTTTACCGCGGCATTCGAGCTCTTCTCCTCGGCCAGCGACTTTTCCAGTCGAGCTTTGTACTCAAATATAACTGGAAAACAACATGTGTCCGTTATCGTATCAGCGAGACCAAGTCTAGACAAGACGTTCGTGAATAGTACAGATGGGATCGCAGGATTGGGCGTGCAAGAACGAGAAAAATTCGTTACTCAAAGATGCCCTCGAAAATCCAGTCGCGTCTGAAACTTCACGAATTACTGCGCCCTCGTTGGCCGCGGTAAGTTCTACGAGTTTTAATATTTAATAGCTCTAAAGCGACGCGTCCGCGATTTATCAGCTTAAGTGAGACATTAATAATTTACGATTTTGACCTGACTCGTAACACACGTGGCCGCCAATATTCCATGAAAACGCGCTCACCTTGAAGCTGAGCGGCGAGTGCCTCTTGCTGTTGAGCACACTTGAGGTGGAGTTCCCGCAGCCTGGTCATCTCGGAGTTGGCGGCGCGATAGAGGAACACCAGAAAGAAGACCAGCACCCCGCAGCCCGCGTAAATAGCCAGGCGGCCGCCGCGGCCTCTGCCAAGTCGCGAACCGCTCATCCCTGTCGGCAACGAGGTACATTTAGACCATGTTCACACGTGCGTTGGAATGTCGGGACGTTGTGACGGACGTTACAATGCCCGTTGTTACATAACGCTGCGCACAAATGCGACCGGTCACACGTGTGACGTTAGTCAGTTCGGTGGGATGTGTGGGTTGCATCGGAATAATGTTTGTTGTGACGGATGTTACTTTCGACGGACGTCTAATGCTCCTACGAGCGTGGTCTAATGTTCGCGATCGGGAAAACATAGCCAGCAGATTGACAGCGATGCGATCGCACGCGCGCGCGCGTCAATATTACGTCACGAAATCGTGCAAACAATATAATTAATGCAATAAACCATTGATCGTTGGCGCTCACGCCTACGGATCTTCTCGAGGTCCATGAAATTTTTTTACTTGCGATTGCATATACGCATAACGCAGAAACACCGAACAAAGCAACGAACGAAAATGCTAACTAAGGTCAAGGAAAGGCAGGAAAGTAATTGTATCTATGTAATCCCGCCTTTAATTTCTTCAAAGGCAGTAATACATACGTAGGCGTATTGTCAATGTATGTATATATCGATTTGAAAACTCTATGTTTATTTTACAAAAAAACAAAATTAAATGCAAAAAAAAATTTCTGCGAACACAGCATTTATATGGAACTTATCATGCACTTGAAGAAAAATGCATAAACAAAAGGTAATTAAAGCTTTAATTTGCTTTAACTATAAAATAGCTTATTGAAGTATGTATATTAATTCTACATACAAAACTCGTATATTTGTCACTTTATAGTTGCCTTATCGTGTTTCTCTCTGAATAGGATTTGCAAATACTTGAATTTGTAAATAAGAGAAATTCTCTGGAGAGAATGTCATATTGTATACTCGTTTATAAATATTAGCTACAATTATTCTTTTTTGCGAATATTTCCAGAGGCAATTTTTTACGTTAACGCCTGAAGGAATAAAATGGATTAGGATATTAATTTAAGGTATTAAATACACAGCAAATAGACATATTAAAGCAAAATAGACACATATCAACAATAAGAAAACAAACAAACGGGGGATTAGGGTCGGGGTCTCAAGAGCTGTATAAGTCTTTTGTTGACGTAGCTTACGACACGATTACATTGGCCTCGTTCGATGAATCGCTTAGCTTTCATTTTTATTCCTTTTCGCATCGTCGTGCCGCGTCTCGCAGTTTCTTAGACACGAGGACGAGTAATGTCGCTCAACTCTTCGTTACTGAACTTTTATTTGCTCTAGTCGGATATCCTTTACAGTAATCCACAAAGTCTGCCCAAGCGCGACCCAATTCTTTTGCTGCAAGATTGAATTCTTCCAAAAGAAGCGTACAAATTGAAATTGATCAGTAAGAATTCATTTCATGAAGTTGTGAAGCTCGCATTATCAACGTGAGGACTCGCGTTGTTTGTACTGCTCCAAGTAAACAGACTGAAACTATGGCAAAATTATAGCAAATATTAAAACAGACACAGTAAATATGAATAGAATCGAGCGACACGTTGCGAGTCGATTTAAGAGACTTGAGAGTCGCGCTCGAAGGCTTCGTGGAATCAATCGACCATTTCGCGAGACCCGGTGCTGGCTCCTCCTAGTTTCGCATAAACTTTGCTCCAACTCGCCTCTCCTTCATGTTGCGCTCTTTTTTCGATCTAGGCAAATTAATGAGAATTTTCACCAAGCAGCACGAACGTTCTCCTCGTGTAGGAGGGGAGTTGAGCACAGGACGGGAGGGATGAGACGCGGAGGGTGGCGTAGTTGGTTACTTAGCAGCTGGATTCGAGTTCACTGACATTTCGGAGCACGCGCGATGAGTCCTATTTCGTTTACGAACGCGACGACGACGACGACAACAACGACGATGACGACGATGACGACGACGACGACGACGATGAAGATGACGATGCGTCCTCACGTGTATCGTTCGCGCGAAACGTGACGTTTCGCTCGCAGATTCAGACTCGTCGTCTCCTGGCACAACGCCACGAGCGTGGAAGCGTCGCTCCCGGTACATACAACAGGGTGCTACCTCCGCTAATTGCGCGTATAAATAGAGAGGCAACGCGAGTAACAATAGGTAGTAACGCGAGGTTCTTCATCCGAAAGGGGTAATCAGAGACTGCCGTCTTTTCAAGCCACTCTTGAGCTTTCACTCAACAGCTTGACTCAACAGAGACTCATTCGTCTTCTGCTGATGTCTGTCTGTCACAGTGGCCGTTTAGACTTCTACAGTACGGTGTAAACCTTCACGTCTGACCAGAAAGTCCGCTCTGTCCACATCGAAAAGACTTTTGACTTGCGACTACCTTCCTCCTATTACTCTCGACAAGATAGCATGTTTCTACTTATTGTATACAATTAAGAGTTACCTTGTACACGTCAGTTACGCATAGAGGAGCACATAACTGCATATACGTTTTTTCATACTTCGATTTTTCTTTTACTTCCCGCCGTCCGAACGGCTTATTACGAGTATTTTGTTTAAAATGTATAAGGCGTAAAAAGTGCACGTGACAAGGACGAATCTGTTAACCGATGACATTGCGATATATTGTTTCCTTGATACGTCGCATGAATCGATTATATTGATCCCATTGATCCTTTGCGAGTTATTTTTCATATTTCTTTTTAGCTAATTCGTCAAAATTAATTTACGACGATATCATGTGATTTATATTGATTTACTTCAATATTTTACCGACACGTCAACATATAGTTGTGTTTGTGCATATAGTGAAATTAAACAAAAAAGAATACACATATATTGAACATAATATTAACCCTAAACATGAATAAAATTTAACCAGATCAACTTCTCAAACAAACAGTTATTCGTTTTCTCATTACAAAAACATTAAAGCTTGATCTACAATGTGTTCTTTGAGTCCTGTTTCTTTTTCTTTATCTCTTTCTGACTCAAACCTTAAGTTTTAAGCCGGAAAAAGATAGAAGGCAAGAAACAGAACGCAAAGGGCAGATCACTGTAGATCAGGCTTAATAGATTCATATTTCTCGAAGTTTTCTTTCGTGAGAAACAGAATTGAATTTCGACCATTTTTCCGCAAGTTATAAGCAAATGAAAATGTACCGGATAAAATTTTTTTATTTTTACTTTGTTTAGAATTTATATATCTTTTTGATGTTTAGAATTTTAGAGTTAATGTAAAAAAATTGATTTACAGAATCAAGTATAACGAAACGCGATGCCAAAGTAGATTGAATAAATTATAAGGAAAGAAAATTAGAACTGGTATTAAATAAGCCAATCTCAAGAAATTTTGTAGCTTAGAATTTTAAAGTGAAGGTCAATAAAAGTTAGACCTAAAGTTTAGAATTCGTTCACACAAAGAATGTTCGAAGATACACAGATTTACGGGTTGAAAGCATGCTAATAACACTATAAGAAAAAAATGTAGCAAGGCTCTATACAGAGGTACAAGAAATTAAAGTAAAATTGAAGGACCGTCGGAAGGCTGCAAACTTAACGAGCCTCTCGAACCAAGTTGGCTGTAATTTCAGTAACCGTGAATCCATAACTGCCGATGAATCAAACTCCCATTAGTATGCTAATAACAATTTTTACGATAAGAATGATTGATATCAATTGTGTACCGCAGCGCGTTCGTTCTATTTCATACACTCGTATTTACATGCTATTTGATGACCCTCCAAGACTGAATGCAGCCGCCTGTACTTTTATTTGCACTTCTGATATTTCGATCGCATTCGCCGTTATCACAAGTCGCGAGAATATGGAACCGGCTGCATATGCGATATGGGCAGTATAAAAAAGGAAAATTGCACATGCATTTTTCTCGGAAGAACTTATGCGGAAAGCAAGAACATTTCCGCGCGCGCGCGAAGTGTCAGAGAGAAAATATACCGTATCCTCATCAGCGTTGATTTATTGGGCAACGCCAAGTAAATGCAAATGGTTTTTGCATTTCTCGCGTGAGATCATTCTGGAAAAAGGTGCGAGGCGCACGAGATATTTCGCTCGCTGCAGAAAATTCAATCGGTCGTCGTTACTTGTCTATCAGCGTCCATCAGCACCGCCAGATTAATTGGCTATACGACCATTAGCACGAGGCGACGCGACACGTAGACAAGCCGCGTGCCTTCCAGTCGATCTCGCACAGCAGACCGGCAATCTAAGCGAAAATTCCCTACGCGCGGGTGGCTCTCGCGGGAGGAGCCGTCGTCGCCCCTGGCGACGTACACGTGGAATTGCGCGGCTGACGTTTTTCACACGCAGGATCCTCGTCGATCTCGCCGAGTTGACACGAAAATTCGCACCTTCGCGAAATCTCGCATCTGTTACAGAATTTCGCGCGTTCACTAAGATTGATAACGTAAATGATAATGTCACGTATACCACGACGACGACAGTATGTGAGAGAAAGTCTCTCGATATCAAACACTTGTATCCGCTCGTGTTCGTACGTGAAATGAGGACATCTTTAGCATCGATAAACATTAATCTTTAATTCTCATTAGCGTCGACGCACAATCAACCGTCCATAATGTAAAAGTGACACTATAAAAAGAAGAATTCTTTCGCAAAACGCGTTTACATTAATGTAATCTGAAGATGAGAATGTCGAACATGCAATTAAATCTCATTACCTCACGAAGGACAGTGTAACGTGAACAATATTATAAACAGACATCATATTGACGGGAAGCTTACAATGAAAATTACAAACGGTTTACCGATAACAATTAAACTCGATCCTCGTTAAAACACAGACAGCTCAACGTAAATGGCGAATAAGTTCACACGCAAAAGGTTCTTTTCACGACGGATCTGCGTATTGACAGGGTCCCGAAATGAGAACCACGAATGCTCTTCGTTTGCAGGAATTAGCTCTAATCCTCGGCAAAATAAACGACGGCGAGCTGCAATACGAAAAAAATGTAGTTTCTTTCAGCGACGCTACGCGCGCAATATTCCGTGATGAGAACCGCAAACACTCCGCTAACCTCAATCCTCCTTAACGCTACGTAAAGAAACGTCCGTTTTATAGCGAACACAGGCACCGACGCAACTCCACGGTAAGGATCGTCAGCACTTGATTTGCAAGTGCCGACCCGAAAATCCTCACTAACGCAAGCGGCACTGCAAAGAGAAAAAGTCGACGCAAACATATGTACTGAAACGTAACCCGGATGAGAGAATACGGGACGCTCGCGGTGTATTTATGGCACATACGCGGTGCGCGGCTACCTGACGTACCTCGTGTACTCGACGTCGACGACGAGCCGTACTCAGCTCCTCCACATCGTCGCGCGCGTCCACTTAGCTCTCGAGCGACAGTTTAACCTCCGTCGCGCCGAGCGTCGTCGCGTGGCGTCGTCCTGGAAATGGCGATGCGCCGCGGGCCGCGAGCGAACAGTGACTGCTGACAGGCTCTCTTGGCGTAACCTCACCAAGTGGGAGCTGCGTCTCGAGCGGCAACGCACTCCCGTGCGCGCGGGCGGCCCGGAACGTGGACAGATCGTTCGGAGCGTCGTGGCGCGCGCGTGTAACCCGGCGTATCCCGCCGGTGACTCGCCACGGCGTCGTCCTGACCGAGAGAAACGCGCACGAAAACGGAGCGGAAACACACGCGACGACAACAAGCATCCCCGACATACCCGACTGTCCCCCAACCGGTGGTGACTCATCGTCGCGGTACGCGACCGCCGACCAATGACGATCGAGCGTTCGCGCTCGCACGGCCTATCGCAGCCGCGAGAGATCGTGCCGAATGCGGCGCTGCGGACGCGATTTAAAACATATTCGAATTTTCGAATCGATCAATCGATCGACCTTAAATCCCTTCGAGACCTTCAAACTCGAAATTCGAAGCCTCGAGGAACATTTTCAAATTTGAACAGTTTGAAATTCACAATCGGAATCTTATGAGAACGTGTGTATCGTATCTGTTTACTCATTACGCACTGATTATTTTATATTTACTCATTACACACGGATTATCATGGTATATACACCGTATCGAACGAAGAAAGAGAGGGGGAGAGGAAAATTAAAAAGAACGAATCGGACATTCAGAACCACACGATGAGAACCTCTGTGCGCAGGAACTTTTCGTCGGCGCAACCGCCGGCGGTTGGCGGCGCTGCTGTCTCGCGGGGCAAGCCTCCACGGGCGACGGCTGCTCAGTCAGGGATCTCGGTTGCATCGTGTCGCTTCGTGGGAGCCGTTCGCACGATCGTCAAGCATACGAGAGGAGAGAGCCAGCGCGCGCGCTCGCCGCTCTCTCTCCGCCGCCCATCTCGGCTCGCGGTGTTCGCTCGGCCGTTGTGCCGCGCTGCGCCGCGCCGAACCGAATTGCCGTCGCGCGCGTCCACGGGATACGCCGAGTGCTTGCGAGTGCCGACGCGACGAAGGGACGTCGTCCTCCAGCATCGACCGTGTGTGTACCGTCGAGAAAAGAACGGAGGCAAGGAGAACGCACGGGCGGAAGTAGGAAACCCGTCGACGGCGGACGTACTCTTTTATTGCTCCCTCCTACTATCGTTCTCTCTTTCTCTCTTCCTCCCTCTTTTCTCCCCATCTCACTCTATCTCTCTTTGACTCCCCGCAGCTCGCGCGCTCTCTCTCTCTCTTTCTCACTCACTCTCTCTCGCTCACTCCCTCTCTTTCTTTCTTGCTCTCTCTCTCTCTCTCTCTCTCTCTTTCTTCCCCTCACTCTCGCTCGTTCTCTTTCTCACATCGGTCGGTCGGTCGGTTCTCTCGTCGACGGCCGTCGGGCCGCGCCGCGTCGGGGAGCCGCGTCCAAGCGAGCGAGCAACATCGAGAGAGCCGCGCCTCCCGGAGACTCGCCCCGGAGAGCGTGTGTTCCTGTCGGCCGCCAAAAACGGCGATTCACATCCAGTGACAGTGATGTGTGTTGCTCCAGTGCTGTGCCCGGTTACTGTCGCCGTTTTCGTGGCCGTTCGCGTCGGGAGCACACTGCGCGCATCCTGTGACTGTGACCGTGACTGCCGTGCCGTTACAAGCGCGCGGAGCCGCAGCTATCGTCGCCGCGATGTGCCTCGCCGACGTTGCCTTCGCCTGCGAGATGCGGTGAGTACAACACTATTACTCGTTATCGTTATCGTTGATCACTACCGAGCCGAAGTACCTGCCGGTAATCGAAATTGCCGAGTCGTTCACGGTTCTTCGAAGCCGCGGCATCGTTCGCGGCTTGAACGTATCCGCGAATCGTATCTCGAAATTCCAAAGACCTCGACGGCAATTCTCATTCGCGCTTCTTTTGCCGCGGATTATTCGCGACTCTCTTCTCTCCGACTTATTGGCGCGAGATATACAACTTCTGTTCGCGATACGTTCGACTATCACAAGTATATCGCACGCTCGTATTCTCCCCGTGCACGCATTTCGGTCGAATCGCGGAATGGCGCGCTTCTTCCGCGGCTACAGAAAAACATACACCGAGCGAGATGAGTGACGTTTCCCCGTTTTTGCATTCTCTGTACATCGCGGATACACCAGTGGAAAATCGAGTCTCACTATATCTATCGATTCCTACGAGCGTACGTGGCCGGTGTGGTCCTTCGCGGCCGACGGTCGGCGCTCTTCGCGACGCAAACAACGCTTGAGGAACGCAAACACGTCAAACTCCGTTTCCCTGATGAACGATGAATATTTTTCTCGCAATTCCCGTCGTGAAAGTCGCAAGAGATCTTTAAGATATATATCTGGCTTAAACATTTAAAGCGCCGATTCAGTGTCTCCGAAAAATGTTGAAAACATTGTTAAAACAGATGTTTCATTTCGTTGATCGATTCTCGATAAAAAAGAATTGTCTTTATGATGATTCGCCGGTAAGCATTATGTGTCACGAGGCTATCGTGAGTGAATATTATACTCTAATCTATTTCTCTCTCTCTCTCTCTCTCTCTCTCTCTCTCTCTCTCTCTCTCTTTCGCTTTCTCCTAGTAAAATAAAATTTTGGGGTGGAAAAAGATAATATTTACCTGTAAGCGAGACGTAGGGGCGATAAAGTTTGCGATGTACACATTTTTTCAGCGTGTGTATAACCGCGAGCCGGCGACAGAAATTTTGGTATGTCGCTCGGGAAGTCGGAGGATAAGTGTGTCGCGTAACAGTTGCCACGGAAGAAACGCAACGAGCTGGGGGGAGAATATCGTCAACGATTGATCGTGTCGTAAAAGCGCATCATGAAGAAAGACGAATCGACTAGGTGGACCAGTACAATGAGTCATATCCCTCAGTTTGGCAAACGAAAACGGAGTAAAATAACGGAACTTTATGAAAATACCAAATTTTTTTCAAAACTCTGTCAGAAGGAGCAAGAAAGAAAGAGAGAAGAAAACGGCTGTAACGTTACGTAGTGGAGATAATGCCAAATATTTACAAACGAGAGAACTATTATTACCTTTTGCACATTTTACCTACATTGGTTTGTCCTTTTAGCTGATCGACTGTTCGTTTGAAAGATCATTTTACACAAACAAACAAACAAACAACGGCTAGGACGAAATGTTGAGACAGCCGAGAGATCCTTGTTCCAAAAAAGAAAAATTCGAAATCGCGGTATGTATCGTGTATATTTGTTTTTGTGCGGCAAAGAACACGCAGTTTGCAAGGCGGTTGACGTTAGCAAAAGTAGAAAGCTTTTCGGTCGCGTTACTGCGCAGTAAGGACGGGCCTGGCCCCCCCGAGTCGACGCTAACATGGAGGTTCGTTCCGCCGCGAACACCGAAGCTGGCCTTTTCCGCCAGCAGCTTTTCCACAGTAGGTGTTTTCGCACCCGGAAAAATTATCTGTACGCGATGTCGTAGCAAAACGAGGAAAAAATAGCAAGAAGAAAGAAAGAAAACGACAAAAGGGGATCAAATTCGGGTAAGCATATTTTCTCCCGGTAAGGCGAATCCGGAGTGTGAAGTAATAGTTACTCAAGTGAGAAGATCACAAGCATGATCTTGAACTCGCGAGATATGCAATCTAACGCAAACACGATCGAGGGAAAGACGAGAAATTCCTCGCGTCCCTCTCGTTTCGCGGATCACGATTAAATTTGCGACTGCCGATCGCCGTAGGGCAAATTACTGTTGAAACTTTCCATTTGTTATTGGATTGGCGCAAACGATTGGTCATTTTTCCCGAAAATTTTCATGGAAAGTTTGGGTGTTAAAGGGAAGATGAGAAATCCTCGTTAAATGCACCAAGTAGATGTTTATTTTATTCGTAAGAGTTGTCAATCTCCTCGAAATAGCACACAATTTCGTTCTCTATTTTATTTCACAAACGCAACAATTTGGTAAATATAATGCATGCTTCAAACAACGACTCATCAAGTGACTGGCAGTTTGTTATTTACAAGTGCGCCGCGTTTTGAAGCATTAGAGTCAACAATGAGGCCACAAGGACGAAACGACCACAGTAACATCGTAATTGACTAGTTGCAAACTTTTTTGAAATGTCCCCCGAATCTGAAATTATTTCAGCTGCTTCCGCCAGCCTCCCGGAGCAAAGGGCGTTCGGTAATTGCTTAGCTTACAAAGTTTGATCAATTTAAACGTCTTCTACTGGAAGATCTTGGATTACTTAATAACGACGTTGCACCGTACCATGATTAATTAATATTGTCGTAGAGCGCTCAACTCACACCGCAACGATTTTATCAGAATTCCAAGTCAGAATTCCAAGGTATTGTTCATCGTGATCGTTAGGAGCCAACCGGAAAGACCACGGCTAACCGGAGGGATGCGAAATCGCGGTGCTCGCGTTGATACGTTAACTCATTGTTAACGATTGTTTCGCGCTAGGTCGTACCGTATAGGTCGTTTTCATCTTCCACCTCAGTTAGTTTCTTGCGGTCGACGATCATTTCCAGGAACGAGTCGATATCATACAGGCCATCATATTTCTCACTTCGACGTTACCAATGTGCTGTTATTTATTAAATATTGCGATTGCTTCTTCGCGAGATTTCCTACGTGAAGATCTCCGAAGAGCTATTATACGCAGCTCGTTACGTACGGATATCGTTTGGGGAGAAAACACGGGGTTATTGTAAACCATCGTGTTGAGTCTAGCCTGAGGCAAATGATCGTAAAGAGTTAAAAAGCGAATCAGGACGCACGCGACGCGCTCTAACCGGTGCGAGCTCGCGTACTCGTCAACGCGTTTTACACGCTAATATACGTTACGAGGGACGCTAACACCAGTCTTGCCAGCCGAGCGAGGTTTCTCAAAGCCTTCTCTCGGCCGGGACGAGAAAAAAGTAGGTTCCACACCGACGTCAAATTCAACCGAGGGTCCCTTTCCTTCCGCAACACTTTCCGACCCGGCAAATTATTAGAAAAGATTGTGAAACCGAGGAAGGCGAGAACATGCGAGAGAAAGAGAGAAAGAGAGAGAGAGAGAGAGAGAGAGAGAGAGAGAGAGAGAGAGAGAGAGAGAGAAGAAAATTCAGCTACGTTTCATCTTTTGCGTTTGGCTAATTGCAAAGAGGAAAAGAATTGTACAATGTCTCATGTCGCCGAAATAATTATGCGCGGGAATCGATATGTGTTTTATGTTATGTGTCGTACTTTAATACTGTATGTGTTTAATTTACGTAGCCTTGGTGATGCACGAATTTCGTAACTACGGAAATTAACTAATTTGTGCCTTTGATATTTTTCTCGTTCTCTTGCGCACGCTTCTTGAGTATTTTGTACCTAGTCTTCTCAGAATCTTCAGCTTCGTATTCCATATTCGTGCACATATTCAGTATAATCCTGTTATTGTTAACATTAAGCACGATACAATGGCAAGACACAGAATCGGATGATTCTACTTAAAATCATGCCGTACGGCATGATTCAAACGGAAAAAAAACAGTATTAATTATCATAATAATGAATATCCATCAGAAAGTGGAATACGAAGCTGAAGATTCTGAGATTCCGAGATATAAAATATCCAAGAAGCGTGCGCAAGAGAACGAAAAAAATATCAAAGGTGCAAATTAGTTAATTTCTGTAGTTACGGAATTCGTGCATCACTAAGGGTGGCTACGTAAATTAAACTCGAAAGTGCGGGAAAAATTCCCGCGGCGGATCTAACTCCGCCAAGTCCTAACCAGAGCTGTCTCTCTGGAAGAGACAGAAAGAGAGAGAGGGAAAAAAGCGAGAGAGACCCCTAATTAATCGTTCTAAATTCAATTTCGCGACATCAAGAATAACGATTTCCGCGATATCGATTTCAGCGCGAGAGATCCTCGAGAGAGTGCGTCAATTTGCGCGCAAATCTGACGTTTTAAATTATAACTTTCGCGTAGAGCGCGGCGCTATGTAATTACTGCAGTGATTACAATTTAGTCGCGTTAATAACGTTGAAGTAAAAAGCATCGTGTCGCACATACAATACCCCCATTTCTTTCTCTCTCTCTCTCTCTCTCTCTCTCTCTCTCTCTCTCTCTCGAGTCGG